TTTACACAGGAACGAGCACCTAGACATATACATTTATGCAGCACGCCGCCTGGTGTAGCCTGAAATCTAGGCAACATAAAAAAAATCCACACTTCTGTTGATTTATTGATGAAAGTTTTTTTTTCTCTATCAGTAAGAGAGTATATCACACAATTAGACATCTAACCCACAATAAGAAATCTAACTGTTCATATATATCAATTAACAAGAAGGATAAAAATTTATTTTATGCTTAAAAAATATGGTTCAATGCATTATCAAATAAAAAAAGTCAAATAAATCTAATAAATCATTTCAGCTCAGTGGGGACGAGGATATTTATATAATGCCAACAGACGGGTTATGTCCTTGAAAAGAGCAATTTCCCTGATTATATTTCCGAGTAAAAAAGTGGATTTTACTGGAGGAAAAATTGGTTTATAACACGATGAGTATTTTAAAGGAGAATGTGAAACACTTGTTAATTATTCATAAGAGTTTGGTAGCAAAAATGGATGTAAAAATCTATATCGATAACTACTCTAGGGATTCTCCGTTGACAAGTTTTTACCCATTTGCACCATATACATCTAAGTTGAATTTTTTCATCAATAGAATTACCAGACCTGAACATGTATAGATTCAGTAATTTTCAGAAGATATGAAATTTGAGACATTATTGGAGGATGTTACTAAGGAGTTGTTGAGGATACAATTTCAATTTTTTGGATATAGTTTTTTTTTTAATTTTTCATATTTATAGCCAAATTCATTTGATGAATACAGTAATATAAGAATTTAATTTCCCTGACTTTTTTTATATTCTTGAGCACAGCATTTACAGACTTCCACCAAAATTACGATATCTAGTTTTTGATTACGAGTTGGTTTTGATCTTTCGTGACAAAGAAAGGAGGGAAGCCAAAACCAAAACTTTATTCATATTCACAGTAGTTTTTGAACTTTATGATCAGTATTGTAAAAAAAATTAGGTCTTATGCATCAAGAGGTCTGATAACAATAATGATAAGTATAACATACATGTAACACAAACAATAGCCTTAATGGCAGATCATTCACTTTAAAATGGGAAAAAAGACGGGTAGTATGCATCGAAGTTGAAAACCAGAAGATGCTTCATATAGTCAAAGAATTTCATGTCATGTGACCAAAGAAAAATTTGAAGTTATGAGATAAAGGTTTATAAGATAAATACAATAAAGAGAAAATAAAAAATGTATTGTGAGAAAGCGATATTAATAACGCCAAAGGCCCATACATGTGTACCTTTGACTGCAAGAAGCATAACAGATGTCACTCCGTTTCTTGTGATAAGGTTGGTGGAGTTATCGTTTATAATTTATGTTTGGCGATAAGTCATTGCATTTTCCATTTATTCAATTACAACAGAAAAAAGAACATTTGATTTCATCACATTCGATATTTTACTTTTCAAGTACATTCAGCATTAGGGCTCAGTCACACCTTACCAGATAGCACTAACGGACGTCAACCGGATGGCAAAAATTATCAATCTGTTCTCTCCATTTGCTTACGTTTCATTCGGCAAGTACGTTGGATGTCCGAAGAGATTTAGTGAAGTTCATTTTATCCGCCAGAAAGTTTTGAGATTGTTCAAAACTTGGAACGAAAACCACAGAACTATAGTGTCCGCTTCAAGTTTGGTAGGTCCGTTAAATGTTCGTTAGATGTACGTTTGCTTGCGTTTTGTGTGGAACTCATGCGCTTCTTTCCTGAACTTGACCGGTCTGCTTTCCTTGATGTCCGTTAGACATGATTTGCAAACGCAACTTGCAAATTTACTTACCTTGTCATTAGTCGTTCTCAAAATTATTTCGTTAAAAAACATTCTGATTGTACACAAGAACTTCGAAGTTAATATTAAAAAAATACTTGAGTTTTTATGTAATTTTTGGAGATCAAGTCTTTCAACAATCTGTCGGAATTCCCATAGGTAAAATCGCCCCCATTATAAACAGACATATTTTTGTATTCATATGAAACAGAATTTATTCAGAAACGTCTACATGAAACAAAGAAATCTTTTGCCGTGGCATTCAATTCAACATTTAGATATATCGAGGACGTGTTATCAATCAATAATATTCATTTTCATTCCTACGTTGATTCGATGTATGTCTTTGAACACGAAAAAAAGATACCACAGAGTCTGATACATCTGTTTCATATTTGGATATTTTACTAGAAAAAGAGGTTAATGGTAATCTTACAACAAAACTTTATGATAAACGTGATGACTTCAACTTTCTATCGTCAATTTCATTATTTATGTAGCAATATACCATTATTGTCTGCACATATATGGAGTTTATGTTTACCAGTTCAATCGATACGCAAGAGAATGCTCTTCCTACAAACAATTTCTACAACGAGACAAGCTATTGACAAATAAGCTGATGAAACAAGATATCAACAGTCTCGTTTGAAGTCAACATTTCGCAAGTTCTATGGCCGATACAATAATCTTGTCAGCAAGTACAATCTATCAATAAGTCGAATGCTGATTGACGTTTTTCACAGAAATTTATAGGCCATTATTCACACACAAAATTGTCTACGGATTTTTCCGTTCGCCCGACAAGGAGCTCAAGGGTATGACCGGTCGACATGGAATGTTTTCTTCTTCATGTCACCTGATCCCACCTCTGATGGTTTAAGAGGTCCGTGTTTGTTCTGCCCCAAATTTGTATTGTTTCAATGGAGCCCTGAAATGCAGTGGTGGACGATTTTCATCAACATTTTACCAACGAATTGTGTTCTACTGCTTTTTTTCTCATCCGTTTGACGTCTGTTTGAGCAATTCGGCAAGCTGTGACTGAACCCTTGACTTCAAATTCCATTAAATATATTATTGTTCAACTTTTTGTTGCATCATTTTTATTTAAAATAAGTTATTTCATTCCCTTAAAAACAATGTCCATACTATTAATATAATTAGAGACAAAATTCCTATTCCTCATTTTAATATAATTTTCTCATTAGTATATTAGGTTTCTTGTATGTAAAATTCAATACTTTGCAAAATAATAAGAGGCATATGCGCAGAAATGTGTAGGTGTAGGAGATACTTGGCATTAATCACTGATTTTCCCCATTCAATAACTATATGTAATAACTCAAAAAAGAAGGAAATTTTTATTGGTAAGCTGTATGTTACACATATATTCAAAATACTTTTTATATGAGCTTAAAAAGAGAATAGGTGATTTTTTTTTTCACTGGAAGCAGAATGTAAGCTTTTGAACGCAGTAAATAATTTCAGTGAAAGCGTAATGATTGGCATATTTTAAAAGATTTTTAAAATGCTAAGAAGTGCTAACATAACATAAGGTCTTAACATATCGAGCGTTTATAATGATAACAATCTCAATAATTGACATTATTGTAGACATGAATTCTTGATATATTAGACCAAATTTATGTCATATCATAAAACATATTATTAAAATATAGAGACATATTCGAAATAACTTTTTTTTCTTCTTGCAAATTGATTCGGCTTTAAATATATTCAGTTTGATTTTAAACTGAGAGAAGGTAAGAAAAGTTTTCAGATTTCTCTGCAAAAAAGATGTGTTTGTGAAACGTTGATGCCCCCTCCGGCAGCTCAAGCCAAGATTTAATTTTTTTACAAATGTAGGTAAAATAGCAAGGTTAAGAGTTCAAAAGTGTTGGTATCCAAAGAAAGGACCTGTCAAAAGAAATATACAAGTGATATATGAAAACCCTAGCACCAACAATTAAAAAATGGAGAAGATTAAAGCTGTTTGCTCCTTGTCATTATCAGGCAAACGGAAAAATCCGTAGACAATTCATTGTGTAAATAATGGCCTAACCATTAGTTTGAAAAACGTCAATCAGCATTCGACTTCATGAAAGATTGTATTTCCTGACAAGATCATTGTATCGACCATAGAACTTGCGAAAAGTTGACTTCAAACAAGACTGTTGATATCGTTGTTTCATCAACTTGTTTGTTGATGAAACTCAAAGCCTTTTGATTTTTTCCCAATAGATTGATCCTTTTAGACTTTCGTAAGGATTAAATATTTAGTTATTTTCATAAAAGAAATAATTCGAATAACTTATTTTGTACAAAGCAATTAATAGGAATATATAATATGTATGTAAAATACTTTTATCAATTCTAAATCTTAAGTAATCAACACAATTTCAGGCCTAATTTTGCGTAAAAGACAAGGGAAAATAAATAAGAGGGCGCTTTTAAAATGAATCCTTCCCTATCTCATTAACATAAGATCACAAATCTGACAAAATGTCTTACGGGGTTGTATGATTTTCTAGGTACCGATTTATTCGAGTAATAATCAATTTTAAAAATGGTTGCAACTCAAGTGTCCCAAAGTAAACATTAATAGCAAAAGATAAGATTTCATCTTGAGAATTGGGGATACATGTGTAAAATTTATATTATTCAGAAAGATTCGTCTCAGATACTTGTATACTGATAAGTTTTTTTGATTGATTATATTTTCAATACCTGCTCATCAGGTGAACTGCAAGTCTTATTTTAATGACTGAGTTTATACAGTCATGTTTCTCTTCATATTCTGGAAAATACGTCGGCTGCTAGACAGGTGTAAAATGAATTAAAACAATTAGACACGATATCTAATGATCTGATGATCATATTTTAAGGCCTTTCCCTTTATATTGGATTAAAATATGTGTGCCTTTCAATATAATAATACATCTAATGATTCAGTCTGTTATATTCATAAATAGATGTCAATTCCTATGACCTAAATAACTTTCACTTAACAATTTCCGTATAAAGGAACAGAAAGAAAGTTGATAGCATAAACTCGAAGCGTAAGAGTAGGAGATAAAATATAATTCAAGAAAAAAATCAAGACAAGTACACAAACTTTGCGTGCCTAGGTACCAAAACATTCAATACCTAATCTTCTGTCAACATTACATGATTCAGAAACCCTAACATATTTATTTTACTTGATAGGAGCGTGCAATTGAACTTTTATCTTGTCCATTTAATATTATATTCGTGACAGTAAGGTTACATACACCACAAATCAGCTTTATCATCTTCTGAGAATCAATAATGAAGGTTTTGATAGCTGTGGATGGAAGTAAATGTTCTAGAGATGCCTTGGAGTGTAAGTAATGCTACTGTAATATTATTATTTCTACAGTACCAATAGATTCAATATTTGTAATATGGTTAAATACATATAATTAGAAAATTCTGAGATTTAGAGACAGATAAGTTTGGCTATGTTGCGATTACCTATAACATATAGATAAGCATAAAGCTTACGTTACTTACCCATTATATCATACTTTTAAATCTATCTTCTATGCTTTAAGGGTACATGAGACACTTTCACTTGAGAGAAAATAAGGTGACTCTTGTTCACGTGACAGATCATCTCCATAATTTTGCGTATAATAGTGAGTATGTATTTTTCGTCAAGAAAACTTCATTGAAGCACACACACACATACCCCCCAGAGAGAGAGAGAGAGAGAGAGAGAGAGAGAGAGAGAGAGATTGCACTGTCCCTGTCATAAGTATATGTCGGTATCAATGTTTCCAAGATAAAGGCGATGCCATACCCAGGAACAATTTCCTTAAGACTCCTTCATATTGGTATTTTTCTCAGTCATTGACCTAATTTGTATTTCTTAGCATCCGTGATACCAGCTGATCCAGAGTTAATTCAATTAGCGTATCAGGAAGAAGAACACAAAGCCAAAACATTAATGGATGAGATGGGTGACTTCCTGAGTAAAAATCAGGTCAGTAGAGAAAAAAAAATTATCACTATGTACATCACTATTTACATGACTGTCAAATTTCTACGAAAACCTGTGAAACAAATAACTAAGCCTAGGAAATCTAGTTTTCATGTAAATTAGTGTATCTTGATACATTGTACTTGCTTATTTTCCTTCATCTATATATCTTTTTAATATTTTCCAATCAATGAGTAGATTGATGGTGAGGTTATTCGACTTTTTGGAAATCCCGGAGAACTAATAGTTAAAAAGGCACATGAAATGAAGGCCACCTTGCTAATCACAGGGAGTCGTGGCTTAGGACTCATCAGGAGGACAGTGTTAGGAAGTGTCAGTGACTTTGTCATACATCACTCAGAAGTCCCTGTTATGGTTTACAAACATTAGGAACCAAAGGACATTTACTTCAATTGTTAAATATTATACTTTGTTACGAAATAAAACATGCCTTTAAGCTGTTTAATTGTTGTCTGACTTCTTTTCTTCCTAGTGTCAGCAAACATTTTGTTAAACTTTTTAAAAACTTTTTTATGCAAAATATTAAGTTTTAAGAAATTAGACAAAACTTCCACACATGGACAAACGCGAAGGAAGAAAACCTAAGGTAGACCGTACCTTAGATTCATTGACAACACCTATGTAGTCTTTGGAGACCGGGTCTTTATACAAATTGTTGGAATTTCAATGGGCACTAATCGTGCTCCCTTATTACCTGACCTGTTTTTATATTAGTATGAAGCAGAGTTTATTAGAAAATTTCTGTATGAAAAGAAGAAAAACGCACTGTAGCCTTCAACTCGACATTCATATATATCGGCAACTTTGAAAAAAAAAACAGTTATTACTTCCATTCATGTCGACTCGATATATCCAAGTGAACTCGAAATAAAAAAAAGGTCTGTCACATATTTTTCATATTTGGTTTTACTGATTATAAAAGAAAAGGGATAAGTAATGACTAAATTGTATGACAAACGAAGTGATTTCAGCTTTTACATTGTGAACTTTCCTTATTTATGTAATAATATTTCGCTATCACATGCATATGGTGTTTATGTCTCCAAAATTATCCGATACTCAGAGGCATGCTCCAAGTACATCAATTTTTAAACCAAAGCAAGCTACTAACAGATAATGATACAGGGATTTCAACAACCTCGTTAAAATTCGCATTTTGTAAATTTTATGGTATTAGCACATTTGACTGAAATATTCTATACCAATTGTTAGACCTTTATTTTTATATTAACTTTGACTACAGATTACTCCGTCTACCTGATCAATAAATAGGGCTCACGGAAGATGTGGCCGATCGACAGGGGATGCTTACTCCTCCTGGGCACCTGATCCCTCCTCAATTTTGTATTGTTTTTCTTCTGTTTCATGTAAGTCCTATACGGTACCAATTTTATGCACCAGATGAGCATTTCGATGCTCATGTCGAAACATTGGAAATCCAAAATATTTTAATAAAAAAAACTTGGAAGAACTGAAAAGGGGAGGGGAGGGGTGTGCCAAAGACGTGAGCCAAATACTTCGAAGGATCAGAGCTACGCATGAAGGAGATAATCCTTAATTTTGAAATAAATTTCAAAATTTTACCACAGCAATTAAATATATATCCGTATTTTCAAGCTTGTACCGACATTTTATCAATAAGCAATATTCATTTTCTTTCAAACGTAGAGATGATATATCCCAATAAATTCGAGAAAAAAAGACACCACAATAATAATAATAATAATAATAATAATAATAACGTTTGAAAAATTTTTATATTTCTATATATGGATGTTTTACCAAAGAAAGACATCCTGTTTACAACGTCCACAATTTATATGACTACAAGGGCTTATCTACTGTTATCTCTGTGAGAATTCTTTGCAGATTACTTTGAGCAACTGATGCTTTGTTGTTCTTTCCTAGTTCATAGTTGTCCAAAGTAAAAATCTGGAACTCCATTATGGCGATCTATTGGGATATGTTTAGCTTTATTTAAAGCTGCACAGCTTTTCTCATATTTGTATGTAGTCTTGCTGTTCTGCTTTTTAAAAAAATTCTTACATGTCTTTGTCTAGATAGGAGATCGTAACCACAGAAAAATAAGAAACTCTGATATTGTCGCCTTAAAAAGTTGCACGTTCGACTGCTGATAGATACTTAGTCATAACAAAAATAAACTCCTCAGTTTTGTGTTTTTGGAACAATTGTCATGAGTTGTCAACTGTTACGATTTACAAGGAAAACCAACAAATTAAAATTCTGGTAATTTGTAATTTGTAGGCAAATTATTTAGTTGACCACATTTCACTGGAACATGTCTAGCAAAAAAACAAAAAACAAAAAAGCAAAAACAAAAACAAAAACGAAACACATACAGTGAAAGAAAATTAAAAAAGATTTGGAAACAAGTTACAAAGCTTCTACTTATCCGTGTCCTTATCATTTATCATGAATGTAAATAACCGACCCTTATCAGGTAGTACAAAATAAATATGTTGCTGGTGTTTTTTTTTTAATAATGCAGAAAAATAGAGTATCAAATTTAACTCACATGTATAGTTTAAATTAAGAAAATAACGCAAATTATTCAATTGTATTTTCAAGGATATTTAACAATGTTTAAAGTTTAAATCAAAGGATTTCATTTTACATTTTCAATTGATTAAATACAATTACTTTTCATCTCAAATTCATTGCTTTAATCGTAAATTTTTGTAAACTAATTTGTTTGAACTGTGGAAATATTTTTCAGAAGTAATAAAACTTCCATGGCTGGCAATCATAATTCCCCCTTTCCTTATCTGTAATGTTATACAGTTAAAGAATGCTAATGAGGTTTATTCATAATTTTGCACTAACCAAAACAACCGTGTCGACCGAGAATCATTCTCATATGATCTTAATGTGAATGTCCTAAAACGTGCATATCAACAGGACGTAGTTCCAAGTTTAAATGGCAATGTGATTATTTGCCTAAGATACGTCAAGAAATTGAGCTTTGACAAACTGCATTGATTACTGTGGATCATAAAAATATATTTGACTGCTCACACTGGATTGTAAACAAACAAAATGAAGGTTTTGATAGCAATTGATGGAAGTAAAATTGCCCGGAAAGCCTTGGAATGTAAGTTTTGTTCATTAAAAGTAGGTAAATGAATTTCAAAATAATAAATGAAATGTAATATAGTGTTACTTAATCTTCAGGGTACCTGCAAAACCTTCACAAAGAAGAGAATAAGTTGTATATTGTTCATGTGACAGACAATAGTTACAGTTTGAAAACAAAGGTGAGTTATTTCTCTTGATTGAGGTGAATGATATAACTGGTCTTTCTTACTAAATATGTTCCATCTTTCCTGACCAAATAAAAATACAACACAATTATGTTAACAAACTTTGTTACAAAAAAGTTTAAAAATGAAAGCATTAATGTGTTCTGCTATTATGTAAAAATGTCATCTTCTTTACTTTTATGTTGAAAATGCTTTTTGGACACATGTAAAAATAGGTGTATCTTTTTCTTAAGTGCCACACATATTTATATATGTAATTTTCCTAATATGGTTACAGATCCAATTATACCAAGTGACCAACACTTTTTTGTTCTGGCACATCAAGAAAAAGAAAAGAAAGCCAAGGAATTGTTACGTGAAATGGAAGTGTATATCAAGGATAATAGAGTTAGTATCACATATCATATATACATAAATGCACCAAGTGTTGTTTTTAGATCAGAGACCATAAACTGAGAACAGACTAAAATTAATTTTTAAATATCTTGATGTTCATTTATAATATGTCTCCAATAAAATTGCAGTTTTTTTTATATTCAAGGACAAACTCGTATTAACAATTTGGGTTAATTTCAAAACATTTCAAAAGTTGTACTAATGGTTGGCTTAATGCAGGTCTCAGTTTATGGTTTTTTCATGACCTTTTTGAACTATTTTAATGCATCTAAAGAGCACTGATTTCAGAAAACAAATAGGAACGTAAACTGTTTTTATTTTAGTCGCAACCTAAAACTGGCTTCATAACTTGAGCATGATTATATCATGTGACATATTTCCACAGATTAAATATTTCATGAAAAAAGCTTCTTAAAACAATAATTTTAATGACATGTATTTAGTTACAGTTAAGTTGCAGTTTATCCCCAAAATTTAATTTGTTATTGTGCTCTGAGCACACACAACTTGGATATTTATTACAACAAATGCTAACAAAAGAGACTCCGCAAGTAGATCGGGCTCTAAATATGTTGGAACACAATAACGGGAAGCTGAAACCATATTGAGGAATATACTTTTGTAATATGGATGTTCATACTTGTATGAACTTTGTTTCCTACAGAGATCCTGGAGTTCCGAATTGAAAAAAAAATATATGTAGTGTTTGGAGACCAGTTCTTCCAAAAATCCGTTAGAATTACTAGGAGCACTAATTTTGTCCTTTATTAACCGACCTTTTTATATTCTTATAAAGCAGCATTCTGGAACATCTGTGTGAGAAAAAGAAAACTTAATGACAATATTAAATTTCATTCTTATGTCAACTCGAAACAAATTGAGGACTATGCTTTTGTAATATAGATGTTCATACTTGTATAAACTTTGTTTCCTACTCCTGGAGTTCTGCATTGGTCTATATCAACGACGTTTATGAATGAACAATATTTATTTCATTCATATGTCAACTCTATATATATATATATATATATATATATATATATATATATATATATATATATATATATATATATATATATATATATATATATATATATATATCCCATACGCTTTGAACTCGAAATAAAGGACACCATAGAGTCTGTCTCATCTGTTTCAATCTCAGATATATTACTGATTATAGACATTATTGGCCAACTTAAAACTTAACCATATGACAAACGGGAAGACTTCCGTTTTTAATTCATCGTCAACTTTCCCTATTTATGTAATTTTTCATAATCACCTGCACATGATATTTATGTCTCCCAGCTGGCTCGATACAGAATAGCATATTCTGAGTACAATCAATTCTTAAACAGAGACAGGTTACTGAAAAATTTTAGTAAGTAAGTTACAGAGTTTTCAACTATGTATCTCCTTTGAAAGCAGCATTTCTCAAATTCTATGGTTGTTATAACGACTTTGTTTGCAATCACACCCTATTTTTGGGTTATACATTGACTGACATGTTCCAATTAATTGTTAGGTTATTGTTTAACAATTTTGACCTACGAATTACTCCGTTTACCTGATCGATACAAAAGCTGAAGACGGGTGTAACCAGTCGATAGGGGATGCTTACTCTTCCTAGGCACCTGATCCCACCTCTTGTATTTCAAGAGGTCCAGGTTTTGCCCTGTTCATGATTCTTATTATTTACTTATGATGTTGATCACTGTTCGTTATCTTCACCTTTTGCATTATATGAAACAAAATTTAAGTCTACATTATTTTATTATTAACAACCACCGAAAATAAAATCTATCGACTCGGAGTTAAACTACTCAATCAATCAATCAATAACAGTGACAGACTTCTTAACGAAACAGATGTTGGTTTTAAGTTGTGTTTTAAGAGGATCAAAAGTTCAAAATCTTACAAAAAAATAAATTGACATAGTTTTTCATCAAGCCTCAGCCCCCTATTCAAAACTCAATTTGATGAATGTGGATGTAAATTTGATTATTTCAAAAATACTAGTATTTCTGACACTGTAAATAAAATTTCTTTTGTTAATTCATAAAATGAATCATTTAATAGCACAAGACTTATGCTCAAGATTCAATTTCTTTGTAATCATATATGTCGAAAAAAACTTTTAGGGCTCTTGACCACCTCCCTTTTTACTATTTGAATTTAGTTTTTATCTGATATCAATCTTTTTGATTTCTCCCTTAAGGAGACATATGTTTCCAAATCTGCCGCAAAATATGTATTTGGTAGAGAGAGATACCGTAGTAGATTGTAAAAATTATATACAGTACAATTCGATATGCATGGTGTAATAAATAACATAATACATCTTCATGGTAATTCAATTTAATACCATTAACTATAAAATTATCATATATATATATATATATATATATATATATATATATATATATATATATATATATATATATATATATATATATATATATTGGGGGGAGGTGTTTTCATTTTCACTTTATGATCACATGCTGTAAGTTTTAGTACACATGAGCCTGAGGTTGTGAAACTGCTTTTCTGTCTTTGTCAATCGCTGCCTGAAGTTTATGACATTTCGAACATTTCAGATTTCTTATGAATCTCCTAGCCACTTTCAACCAAACTTCTCTCGATAATCCTAAAGCAGTTTAAGGCAAATGGTCATTTGATATTCAAACTAAGGATAGCGCCTCTTAAAGATAATTTAAAATACAGGAAATAGGAGGGGTTATTTAAAAAATCCTTTTTTCCATTGGATCATGAATGAGAATTGAAAGATTTTTTTTATCTACTGTAGAATTAATTTGTTAAAACCATACCAGTATCATTTTGAACACAACAAAGGTCAAAAGTTTTGCAAAGAAATATAAATGAAAAATTAAATATATTTTTAAAATATTTTAAGGAATTACACGACTGCAAAATTATTGATTTTCTTATAATGTCGAATTTTTAACTGAGCCTAATCGTGTTTTTAATGGTTTTGCCTCTGTGATGTGCAGCAGTACACTGGTAATTTTCAGTATGAACCCTCACTATGAAGAGAGAGATAAAAGGGGTTTATTAGAGATATAAAGATTATCAAGCAATCGTTGGGCATCGGATAGTGGCATTTCTTCTGTTTGCAAGAGATCTATTGCTAACACACATGCTTTATAGCATGACGATTATTTCCATGCATAGGAAATTACTATTGAATGGAAATGATACAAGGAAATATTGATTCGGTTTAAAGGCGAATGATGTCAAAGATTGAATTTTTGTTTATGTATTTTGTTTAGTTATAAACTGGATTGGTTATTACCGGAATAGGCTAGGATAGCCACAACGGCGCTGGTGAAACACTGGTGTGCTATGCACATTCTTTGGCTTAAAAATTCCTTAAAGCGAATTCGTACTGCAGGAATATATGTAAAAGATGAAGATAACGAACAGTGATCAACTTCATAAATCCAGTGAACAAAACGAATCGGAACAGGGCAAAACCACGGTCCATGGAAACATCAGTGGTATGGTCAGGTGCCTAGAAAGAGTAGGGAGTTAATATTCCATGTCGACCGGTCACGCCCGCCGTGATCCCTATGTATTGACGGAGTATTTATATGTCAAATTTAGTTTAAAATCAATGACATAACAAATGGTATGGAACATGTCAGACAAAATACGATCTAACGATATATTGTATATACAAACAAGGTTTCTATAACGACCATAGAATTTTTTTGAAAATTGACTTTAAACAGGGTTCTTTAAGTCCTTGTACATCAGTTTGTTTGTCATTTGCTTTCGTCCGTTTAAAAATTGAGAGTATTCAGAGCATGCTTTTCTGTATCAGATCAGCTGGAAGACTACCATATGTAGGCGATGTTGAAATATTGCTACATAAATATGTAAAGAAAGTTAACGATGGAAAAGCTTTTCATTCCGTTTGTCATACGGTTTAGTTATCAGTTGTCCATTATCTTCTATAGTCAGTAAAACTTGACATATCGAGTCTACATATGAATGAATGCACTTTTATACATTGATAAAACGTCGTCGATATATTTAATGTAAATAATATACGGTACCAATTTTGATGCACCAGATGCGTATTTCGACAAATTATGTCTCTTCAGCAAGCCGAAACGTATGAAGTCCGAAATATTTAAATTTAAAAAAATTGAAGAGCTTGAATAAAGGGGGTGTCACAGACTTGAGCCAAATACGTCGAAGGATAAGAGCTATGCATGATGGAGATAATCCTTAATTTTGAAATAAAGTTCTAAATTTTACCACAGCAATTAAATATACATCCGTATTTTTATGCTAGTACCGAAGTACTTAGCTACTAGGCTGTAGAGACCCTCGGGGAGTTGGGTTGAAAGCCACACACAACACTAATTTTCTTCTCGTGAAGGAGGTTTTGAAAAAAAAAAATCTGCTTCTCAAGAATATAAAAAGATCCAATTTCCACATAATCTTGAATCTAGAATTTAAAATTTAGTTTAAACATTGCCAAAAAAATCGAATCTTGAGTCAACCAAGAAAAGTTTGCTTTTAGGACAATCAAACCTCTCAACCCAATCCAATCCTAACTCCGAACCAAAAATATATAACACACTTCAATAATTCATCTAATGCATGTTTTTATGTTTTTTGAAAGGAAAACTACTCTAACAGCATAATCCAGGCCTTATACAGTGATGTGTCTATGCCTTTAATCTTATAAAATCACAACGGTGTTTATTTTCTGTGTTTCTTGTATTGTAGATTAAAGGAGAAGTCAATAACTTATTTGGTGATATAGGACACGAAATTGTTAAAAGAGCAAATGATATCGATGCCTCTCTGATTATCACAGGCAGTCGGGGTTTAGGTGTACTCACAAGGACGATATTAGGAAGTGTTAGTGATTACATTGTTCACCACTCTGAAGTTCCTGTGGTTGTGTATACAGACAGTGCCAAATGATGAAAAGTAACAGACAGAACACAAGAACCATCGAATTTCAATCTTGTTGAATTATCCATGTGACTGGATTTCTATAAATCGAAGAAATAGATATTCTTATATAAATTTGGGATTTAGCAGTGACATTATAATTATATCATTCAGGATATATGAGATCTTTTAACCACTCAAAAATTGCTCGCCTAGCATTTGAGAGATTCTCAAGGATATTTTTTTTCTATCGACAATTTGTTTTCACGAAAAAGATCCCTCACTGCTCAATGGCCCTGAGTGCCGAGTATAGGCCAAAATTTGCAGCTTTCCCCCAGCAAGTGGTGGCGTCTCCATATGAATGAAAAATTCTCGAGAGGGACCTTAAACAACAAACAAACAAACAAAAATCATCTACAAAATATTAATTATAGTCCTGTGTTTTATTTTTTTTAGCAATTCGAAATGTTTTACAAAGATTGTTATTTTTAAAAGTTTAAACAGAAAATAAATGTGCTATTATTTCTTAATAAAATGAAACATTTTTAATGTCCCTGTCAGTATGCCCAGGTTTGAAAATTTTTGTTTGTTTGTTTGTTTGTTGAACGTCCCTTCGAGAATTTTTCACTCATATTGAGACGCCACCAGCCGGTGGAGGGCTGTAATTTTAGACGATTACTCGGCACTTAGGGCTTTTGGGCAGTGAGGAATCTTGTTCTTGCCAGTACCTTCTGGAATTTTTTTGTAAAAATGTTCTTGGATAGATTTTAAGCTTTTTGGGAAAACAAATCATTTTACGACCACTGAACTTTAATCAATGTACTTGTTTTTACTTTCTGCACAGCCTTTATATCAGTATGCTAATCTTCAAAAGCAAGGTCTATTTTTTCTTTCCTGACATGCTTTATATTTTTCAAATTTAATTTCTCTGAATGTGTAGCACAGCAAGACATCAGAATCTGTATTCCGTCATTGTGCTTCAACACCATGTACACCAATTTTTGGAATTAACGAATAGTAATCAATGTCAAACGTCCATAGAAAAAATTCAAATCAAGAGCAGAGCAAAAACGGACCTCTAAAAACATCAGAGGTGGGATCAGGTGCCATGAAGGAGTAAGCATCTCCTACGGACCGCTCTGGAAAACGGAAGATTTATAGACAATTCAATGTGTGAATAATGATATAACAATTAGTATGAAAAACGTCAGTCAGCATTTGACTTAATGATAGATTGTTTTTGCTGACAAAGTCATTGTATCAACCACAGAATTTGCGAAATGATGACTTTAAAGGAGACTGTTGATATTCCTGTCTTCCTAGCACTGAAAATGATCGCTCTCAGGTGACTCACTCAGGTGACCTATTGCTATCCGTTTTTGTCTGTCGTCGTGCGTTAACATTTGAACATTTTCAGCTTCTTCTCTGAAACCACTGAACCGATTTCAACCAATTTTGGCATATAGCATCTATGGGTGAAGGGGAACAACAATTATGAATTTCATGGTCCCATGGGCTTGCGGGGTGGGGCTAAAACCAAAAAAATTAATGCAATCTTTTAAAATCTTCTTCTTAACTCCTGGGCATCAAGCAGTCAAACTGTTGGCATGATTGTAATAAACGTTGAGCCCTCTCACAAAATTGTGAAATTCATGATCCCAGGGTCATTTAATAAAATGCATTAAATCTTTGAAAATGTTCTCTGCTTCTGGGTATAAAATAAACTAAGTACATAGATTTGAATATGGCTGCCTCTTAAATTCCAAAACTGCTCATGGGTATTAAATAAACTAAGTAAGTACATAATTATGATTAACATGACTGCCTTATCAGAAATTGTGAATTTCATGGCCCCAGGGTTAGGGGTTCTGGTGTTAGGACGGGGCTCTATTGATTATATAGTAAAAATACATTGATTCTTTGAAAATCTTCTTATCTGCTCCTGAGTATTAAATAAATTAAGAATAGTTATGATGAGCATGACTGCCTCTTCCATAATTATGAATTTCATGGCCCCTGGGTCAGGGGCTCTGGTGTAAGGACAGGGCACTATTGATTATATAGTGAAAATACATTATTTCTTTGAAAATCTTCTTCTCTGCTCCTGGGTATTAAATAAACTAACTTAGTGCATAATTATGATAAACAAGAGTGCCTCTTCAGAAATTGTGAATTGTGGCCCCTTCTCAGTGGTTCAGGTGTTCGGGTGGGGCTCTATTGATTATAAAGTGAAAATGCATTGATTATTTGAAAATCTTTTTCTCTGCTCCTGAGTATTAAATACTCAGTAAACTAACTAAGTACATAATTATGATGAGCATGGTTGCTTCCTCAGATATTGTTTATTTCATGGCAACTAGGTCAGTGGTTCTGGTATAAGGGCGGGACTCTATTGATTATATAGTGAAAATACATTGATTCTTTGAAAATCTTCTCTGCTCCTGGGTATTAAATAAACTAAGTACATAGTTATGATGAGCATGGCTGCCTCTTCAGAAATTATGAATTTCATGGCCCCTGGGTCAGTGGTTTTGGTATTAGGGCGATTACATATTGATTACATATTGAAAATATATTAATTCTTTGAAAGTCTTCTTATTTGCTCCTGGGTATTATTTAAACAAAGGAAGTACATGGTTATGATAGCAAGAATGCCTCTTCCAGAATCATGAAATTCATAGCCCCAGGATCAGAGGTTCATGTGAAAAGGGGGGGGGGCTCTATTGATTATATAGTTAAAATGCATAATTTTTTCAAAACATTTTTTCTACTCCTGGTTATAAAGCAAAGAAACAAGTGTATTGTTATGATGAGCAAGGGTGCTTCTTCCAGAATTGTGAGTTTCATGGCCCCTGATGTTAGGGTAGGGTTGTGTTAAATCTGTAGTGAAAATGCATTGTTTCTTTGAAAATCTTCTCTGCTCCTAAGCATACTGGAGGCGAACAGAGTAAAATTTTACTAAGCAAGGGTGTGGGAAGTGGAGACCGGTCCTTCGGATGAGACCGCATAAACCGAGGTCTCGTGTTGCAGTAGGTGCTGGCACGAAAAAGATCCCTCACTGCTCAATGGCCCTGAGTGCCGAGTATAGGTCAAAATTTGCAGTTCTCCACCGGCAAGTGGTGGCGTCTCCATATGAGTGAAAAATTCTCGAGAGGGACGTTAAACAATAAACAAACAAACCAAAAAAATGGCAAGGGTTTTTTCAGAATTTTTTAACATTGGAGCATTTGGTCAAGTTCTTTGGTCCTAGCCAGGACTCTATTAATTAGTATTCTACTGAGCGAAGTTATTCCCCTTTGCAATTCACCTGTGATTATTATTTACTATAAAAATGCATTTGAAATGTTAATATAACAAGAAAATTATGCAAGAATATTTATTGTATAATACAAAAAGTACTTTCATAATGATCAGGTAGACTTGTAATTAATAGATGAATAATAATGAGACAAAAATAACTTATCTTTTTAAATGTTTTTAAAGGCCGAGAGAGGCCAATGTGAGAGGTAATAATATATGGTTAAAAAATAGATATTTTATTAATAGTCTGCATGGTAATAGTGATAAATGGGGGACAGATAGACACTAGACCAATTATTTTGTTGATCCTGATCATACTATTTTTCTTGCTTTTGGGCAACAAAGCTTCACTTATCAGTTTATGGATCCTCTAAATTGTTGTTTTGTACTCAGGTGACCGTTAAGGCCCTTGGGCCTCTTGTTTCTGTTAGCAGCCCGTTTTTGAAATCAGTAGCCGGTTTTCTTGAGCGATTGTCAAAACCCTTCCGTACAAAAGAGGACACAAGTCAGCAGCATTTTATTGTTTACAAAAAATAAGGATTGCAAGTTTTGGGTCTCTCCTGTATCCTTTAAAAGTCACCTTTCTCCTCTTGGGAAAGAACATTTGAGGTCTAATATAGCCAAGAACTAACTGAAAAAGAACAACTGCAAATCGAAACAAGCTTGCTTGATACAATACAATCAATACAATATTTTACTGGCGCAAACACAATTACAATTGGCAAAGGCACAACATATAAGAATCATAAATTGTTCATACATTTATACAATATTCTAGAATGTGAGGATATGCATAAATCATACAATCATTTGTACAATAATTATGTAATACAATCATTTCTAGACATATGGCATTTTTAAATAAATGAATGTGTTATTTTCAGTATTTCAGGGCATTGGCTATTAAAGCAAAGCTTAACTTTTTTAGTATAAGACATATTTGATATTTTTCCTTGAAAAGAATTCATCAAGTTCCTTTCAAAAGTTAACCTATGATTATTGTATTTTTGGCAGCTGAATAAAACATGAAATTCATCTGCAATCTCTCCTGTGTTGCAAATATTACACATAAATCTTTCATCTGTGAGTATAGACAAACATGTATGTCTCCCTTTTTCTATGGCAAGATATGAAGAATTGTCAAACTTGACTCTGACCCTACAGTTTCAAAAGCATTCATTACTTATACGTTGTGTTGAAGAAGAAACTTTCCAAGATCAAATCTCCACTTTTAAGTCATTGTATTCAGTAAAACACTGTTGATTGTTTCTGCAATGTACACTCAAGCTCAAAAAACCCAAGAAAATAATCCGTTTAATTCACACTACCGTTCTGTGTGTAGTAACAAGGTCTGAATCACTTTGGCTCACTAGAAAACATAAATTTCATGTCATTTTTTTTAAGATGAAATTAAGATTAAGGTTCAATTGAATAACATAAAGAAAAATATTTATAGTGCTAGAATTTTTCATTTTTCAATTTACGATAAAAAAACCAAAGTATGTAAAAGACCCTTTGTAACATAATGAAATATCTTCTGCAAATAAAAATCGAATTAAGCATATCATAAAATATTTACAGCATATAACTGAAATAATAAACTCCAACGTAGGAAAAAAATATCAGCATGATCGATGCAGTTCCACAGGCCTCTAAATTTAATGCTAACATTTAATAACAAATAAAATAACAGCAATGACTATATTTTGATTTCATAGGCCTAAAAATCATATTTTAATACATTAAGGTTCTAATAAGACTGCAGCAATAATTTATGTAAGATTTTTCATAATATCTACATAAATCTAGGCCAATATTTTGTAATATCAAGGTTGCAACAATGCATGCAAAGAAGATTCGATACTCTGTAAACATATCGGTCACATCTTTTTCGTAAATCACTCTCCGCACTTAAATATCGACCCCCATCTGAACGCTCACATTCGGGATGCCGATCTTTCCAGAGTTTTCCTTTATGCCCATTCTTTCTTCACGGACTATTAATATGCGCGACTGGCGTAGCCTCAATGTTGTAACGGAAGTCAATGAACTGCATCTTGTTCTATAAATTATATAGAGATTCATTTTTTTTCTTACATTCTGGACTAATCTGTTCTGAGTGCCATGGCGGACAACGGAAACAAGCGGAAAGTAATGATCGCTATGGATGGGAGTGAATACTCCGAGGGGGCACTGAAATGTAAGTTTCTTTTAAAAATACTTTCATGAATAAATGATATGTTTACATGTTTTCTAGGTCATAAGTAATTCAAATAACTACGATAGATTATTCGTGACATAACTTTATATCAGAAACCCTATGTTAAAAATGAAATAGACCTGGATAAACTCGATATTTACACCTCTATTCAAGGTATTTTCTCAATTTTTCTTTTAAATTAGTAATAGAAGTCTACCTAAGGGGTTTGCTTGCTAGGAGTCAAAGCATTTTCTAAAAAGAGTACGAATATATACGCTCAACTTGACGTTCAGTGTTGTTTTCACTCCAGAAGCAAGCCCCTGTAATTTTCTACAAACTAATACAACTAATACCATGTGATAATATGATCGATTGAAATACAAAACTATATGAAGATTGATTTTTTTTTAATGTTACAGCACACATCTTACTTTCACTTTCCTTTCAGGGTTTGTAAAAAATTTGTATAGAAAAAATGATGATGACGTCATTGTACTTCACGTCACAGATCATAGAGACTCCATGTCCTATTCATGTAAGTAGATCGGAGAGTAGGCCTACAGAAAAGTCAACCTAGACAACATATCTGAGCTCCTGATTATTGTCAAACCCATATATTTAAAATGTTTCAATCACTAAAAAAAGTCATCAAAATCAGCAATCTTTCCCTATTTGAAAACGCTAGGCATATATGATTTAAAAGTTAAGACATTGCCTAATAAATACTCGCTGGTCATTTTGCCTAAGTTATTACTACGTTTAAGTTTTCCTTGTGCCTTTTAAACTATTGTCAGAAATTGAATAATTAAGACTAATAGGAATTAAGTTTCTACCTCATAGAATCCACACCAATATCTACTAATTTACACACAACGGTAGTGGGTCGAATAAGCATGCCAGTTAATTAAATGGCAATACACGTACAAACATGCTATAAATGAATTTGAAAGCGATTGTGATTTTTTTTACGTAAAAAATAAACAAAACTATGTAAGAAGCTACAAATGTTTCAATGCTGCAGTCCAAAAGTAATGAGATATATCTTTTAAACTACTGTTTGTCTGCTCCAGAAGGTGTTTATTATTTCTTCTGTGTCCAGAACTGATAATTCTCTGGTTGTCTATTCCAAAATTCAGACTTAGGTTAACTACTGGTCTATAGCTTATCTAAAAGAAATAGATGATTTAAATACTTCAAAGTCGTTAAAAAATTATAATTTTACTGGCTTACTGAATCCATAGTCACCCACATAAATAATTTTGTATCTGACATATATTATTTAACTGATGGGGAATATTCTCATTAGAAATTTGAAATTAAAGCACTGAAAGGTGCTTAGGACGTCCTTAGAGAAAAAAAAAACACAAGTATTTTTTCTTATGGAAGTTCTAAACTTTGTTTTTAATTGCCTTCTTGTACTTATCATATTACTCACTAAGTTGTGAGTGTGTAATCTTAATTTTCCTGTTTCCAGCTGTATATATATATAGAAACATCTGTATGATACATTCTTCAGTTGAAAATTATGGTTACAGAACATATAACCTGAACAAGCGATGAAACATGCATACACTGTTAATATATGTTTTCTCAACTGAGAAACAGAGAAAAGGGAAATATTTTCCTCATTTGTTATATTAATTTTGCAAGAAATCTGACACTAAAGTTCTTTTGTGTTCAAAATGTAATTGATTTGGCTTTATCCATGCACTTTGAAACTATCATTTATAACATATGCTTTGTTCTGAAAAAATAATTTTCAAAGAAGATTATTTTATTTTATGCACCACGAGTATGCATGAATAAACAGTGTACAAACTGCTAAATCTTTAGGTCTATAATAGATTGTACAAACATTCTGCATCGGAGAAGACACACGATTACGGATAGGAATATAAAAAGAGGCATAATGGGAAACACATGGTTTGGAACATTTTCATTCTAAAGAAAGTCTTATTTGATTATTTGTTTGTTTGTTTGTTTGTTTGTTTGTTTTTTTTTTTTTTTTTTTTTTTTTTTTTTTTTTTTTTTTTTTTTTTTTTTAAACTAGCTACTCATTATATCAATATTTCTTTGTCGTATAACGCTCTTCAATTGTTATGGTTTTTTTTTTATACTTGTACATGCATATCATTAAGCGTAGTGTAGATGCCAAAGCACCCATTAATTATATAAATATGTTCATAATATATAATATACGTAGTTAATCATAAGTATGTATGTTTTTTTTTTAATTGCACACCTTTTCAAATAATACTGCTCTCTTTTGGAATAGTTTTGATAGACTGTGTTGTATACATTCTAAAAGTTTGGGAATATCTATAAATTACCTGTTTAAGGATGGGTACAGTATAGATAAATGATACCTAAATCAGTAAAATAACATGTAGCGATGAAAATCGCCAATATAAACAGGGAACCAACTAAAAACACAAAATCTGTTTAGACCGTGTCTTTAATTTGAATATCATTGATTCGTAAATTGTTTACATTCTGCAGTGATTAACCTTTCGTCATGTATTTGAAATACAACATTTTAAAGGTATTTTAACATCTACCTTAGAATTGAACATGTTGAAAGGGGACATATTTAACGATCCCGGGTGAGCTTCATTAGTTTAAAGTCATCGTTTCGTAAGTTCTATGGTCGATACAATGACCTTGTCAGCAAATACAGTTTATCATTGAGTCAAATGCTGACGGACTTTTTTCATACTAATTGTTAGGCCATTATTTACACACTGAATTGTCGACGGATTTTTCCGTTATTTCCCGATCATGACAAGGAGCTCACGGGGGGTGTGACCGGTCGGTAGGGGATGCTCACTCCTCCATGGCACCTGATCCCACCTCTGATGTTTTGGAGGTCCGTGTTTGTTCTGCTCCTATTTTGTATTGTTTAATGGACTTTTGAGCTTGAATACTGTTCGTTATCCCCATATATTTCATTGTACAAAATTATTTTAATTTTTTTGAAACTTTGACAGGCAATATGTTTTGACACATATGTACATTACCAGTCACATTATAGAAGCTTGTTATATTTAATAATAGCCTGGAAGCTGATGGTGTCAATACTAACTCTTTGTTCAAAGTGAAATAAATAATTGAATGTGGAGTTCGAAATAGGACAAGTTTAAATCGACTTAGCTTAAACATCAACGCATTGATCAAGTCGTGAATAATATAGAAACGTTTCCAGATGCCTTCATCTCATTCAAAAATCATTATCAGAGTTTTCTAAACTTTCCAATATTGAATTTATCAATCTATAGCTTGTAAAATACCTTGAACCTAACAGAAAAAAGTATATAATTAGCTCTCATATTTCAACCTGGCTAATGAGCACAAATGACCCCTTAGGTCTTCACAGTAAAGATAAGAGTTGGAGGAGTATCATTTCTGAGTCAATATAATCATGCATGAGCATTCGTTTTCTGTTTTTTTTTGGTTATCACTATGTACAGCTGCAGCTTTATGCTGCTGAGGTTATTTTCATTACTTGTTCTTTTTATGAGATGCAATATTTCATACATATGTCTCTTATCAGCTCCTTGGATGCCTGTTGATCCAGCACTCATCACTCTGGCATTCCAAAAGGAGGAGGAAAAGGCGAAAATCACAATCAAGAAATTGGATGCAATAATTATGGATGCTGGGGTACAATTATTTTCTGTCCATTGAAAATCTTGCAATTGGCTGCTACTGTGTTAGTCCACATATTGTTTAATTGTGCACTTCTTCTTTTTATACTCATCTAAGATCGAAATGTTTTCTGAAGTAGATGTCACTTAAGCAAAATACCATTTCAAGAGGGCAATTATTAAATAAAAATTACAAGTATGATCAATTTCATTTCATGAAAGCAAACAATAACTGTAATTCTCATCTCCTTTAGCTGTCTAATCACAGTGATAAATAGATATTAATGTCACAGCATAATCGAAAACTGTATTTTCTAGCTCCAAGCAAACGTTGTAAGAGCGCACGGCAATCCCGGAGAACAGATAGTCAAAAAGTCTGAAGAGCTTGGAATCACCATGATAATTATCGCCTCGCGTGGACTGGGAACGATCAGGCGGACTATAATGGGAAGTGTCAGCGATTATGTGGTCCACCATTCGTCCATCCCCGTTATTGTATTTCGTAATTAACAAACGGCTTTACCAGAAATATCAGGGATGAACTTTTTTAATGTGTTCAAGACACATACTGTACCTGTGCCATTTTTATCAACATTTTATGTTGGACTGCCTTTTGACTTGGTGTATTGACTAATAATTGAAATAAGGTACTAGACTGATGGGAGAAAATTGAATTAAAGTTTCTAATAATCTACAAAAACAAATTGCAAAGGTATACCCACTAAGCATTAATTTGTATGAATTTGTGAGTGGAATATGTTTTTCAATGAAAAAACTTAGGTCCTCAGTTTCATTTGAAGAACATATCTGTACTGTGGTTTATTTCGAAAAAGTAAAAGCCTTCAAAGTGACTCTGCAGGAATGTGGTACTTTAATAAAAGTGTCTACCGCATTCCTTTATTTAAAAATTTTCTTTTCATGTATTTGTTCCATTTCATTTCTATAACTATTTTTGAAAGGAAGTTTATGTTTTTTTTGTTAATTTGATCTATTTTGATCAATAAAAATGATTACAGCAATCTTAAAAATTTAAAAGTTTAAGGATACTTTTTGTGCTGAAAAAAGTTCAAATGGACTTCTCTGACCTGCAACCTTGTGAAGGTACATATTGTCGTTTTGTACAATTTGTCGTCGGCGATAATATGTACCTACCCTCACGGCACATATTGTCGTCCATCGGTTCATATTGTCGCCGGCAACAATATGTACCGAGACGAGCCTTATTTTCCTCCTGCATAATGGACGACAAAATGTACAGTCAAGCACCAGCACATATTGTCGTCGGCGACAATATGTACAGTCAAGGTCGGCATATATTGTTTTGACCAATATTTATTTGAGAAAGGAAAGAGAGATTGACAAACATACACGCACACGCATGGAGGGGACAGACAGTATTGCTTGCAATTCTGTAGGGAGAAAACTTTTTGGTCGGAAAATTGTGTCCAGGATTGATGTACTTCACTATGATATGTCAAAGATACCGTAATTCTTGAGATATCTGAAAAATCAGCCTTTTCTTTTTTCTTGTAATATATACTTGCAGATTGAATACATGTATTAGTTTTTTTTTGTTCAAAAGTATTTGAAAATCATTTTTTGCGTTATTCTTATTTACAATCATGTGCCGATATAATTGGTGTTGGGGAGTTGATATTTTTAGATCACCTGAACTAGAAATTCAAGTGAGCTTTTCTGATGTCTGACTGTCCCTCTGTCTGTAAACTTTTCACAATTTCAGCTTCTTCTCAAGAACTACTAGGTCAATTTCAACCAATCTTGCCACAAAGCATCCATGGATAAGGGGGATTCAAGTTTGTTCAAATGAAGGGCCAAGCCCTCCTTCAAAGGATTTAGATAAGAATTAGTGATAATATAGTGACATCTTTTAAAACCCTTCTCAAGAACCACTGCGTCAGAAAAGTTGAAACTTATGTGAAAGTTTCATTGTGAAGTGTACAGATCATGCCCATCGAGGGAAGGATGTGGCTACAAAAGGTGATCAAAGTTTTTCATAGAATATTTAGAAAAAATTCTTTCAAACTCTTTTTTTTCAAGAACTACTGGGTCAGAAGAGATGATACTTATGTGAAAGCTTCATTACATAGCGTACGTTCAATTTTGATGTGCAAGATGGCACGAAAAAGATCCCTTACTGCTCTATGACCCTGAGTGCCAAGTATAGGCACCATTCTGAAATTTCTGGATCCACCACTGAGAAACAGCAGTAGGCCCGTGATTAGTGATATTTAAATGAAAGCATCCCCAGGTAGAGCAGAATCAGGTATCTTTAAATGAAAAAGGGCCAAGGGTGGGGCCACAATGGGCGATCAAAATTTTACATAGGAATATATGGGAAAATTCTTTAAAAATTATCTTCTCAAAAACAGCAAAGCAATGATCAGTCATATTAATATAGAGCATTGCCGTGCATTGTCTTGCAACATGTTCTGATGGACGACAATATGCGCAGTCATGGTAGTTACAGATTGTAGCCGGCGACAATATGAACAAGACGACAAAATATACCGTCACAATCACGCTGCATGAAATAGCATACGAGACACGTCAGTGTGATTCACACACGAATTACATTGACAAAACTACCAAAAAACAAAAAAGAAATGTTTAAGCAACAATATCTGTGGGGCGACAAAATGTACAGTGAGGGAGGCACATAATGTCGCCAGCGACAATATGTACATGTGTAACTTTTCAGCCGGCGACAATATGTACCGATGGACGACAATACGTGCAATGAGGGTAGGTACATATTGTCGCCAGCGACAATATGTACAAAACGACAATATGTATCGTCACAAACCTTCTAAAGTCTCCTTTGTGACTATATATCCAGAAGTAAGGAGTGTAATTCTGAAAAAAAGTCCACGATGCGAGGGCCAAATCTTTATATGACAAATGTAGGGAGTATTTGGCAGAGAAAATGTACCTAAGGAAGTACCAATATCAATACAAGGTAGCTTTTTAAAAAAAAATGTTTAAATTTAGCTTTTTTTAAAAGCCTTTAGAAAGTAGATATACAATGAACCTTTTTGATAATACGTCAGAGGCTAGGCCAAACGTTGTTAAATCCAAATCAATACTGACTTACTTAAAATCAGTAAAACTTGCATACGAGATGTTGTTAAAAACCGAATGTTCGAGTTGTTGATAGACTTTGAAGCAGAGATCGGCGATTAAAATGTACTAAATCGAAATTTACAACTCTTTTGTGAGAACAGTTTAGAAAAAATATGGTATTGACAAAAATCAAGGCTGTTGGCATACATTTCTTTTATTCTTCTTCATGTTCATGTTTACAAACATTCTCTGTAATTTGAGGAACATGGTAAAATAAAAAAAACATGATCAATACGTGACAAGACTCTATCCTTATAGCATATTGTAATTAACCAAAGACCTAGACGCGACACAAATACGATTAGATGAGTTCTATATTGTTTTAAGCGTTCTTTGGGTATAGAACACATAACACCTCTGGTACAAACAGGTCAAGATATTTGGAATCTTTTAATATCATATTTAAACGATCAATTATGATTAAAATTCCTTTTATTGTTTTATACAAGATTGAACACTTGTTTTCTTAAAAATAATTCTTTAAAAAAAATGAATTGCATTCTCAATATTTTCCTTTTTCTAAACATTCATTTTTTGGATCATCTAGCAGTTACATTCCGCCAAAATATGGCAAAGATACTACCGACTCTGTGTAAAACAACAAATAATCAATCGATCTAGATTGTCTCGTTTGTGTGTATTTTATTTTTTCCATTGGATTCAATACACAATTCATATAGGAATACAGTTTTAGCTCACCTCGAAGAAGTCGAGATGAGCTTATTTTATACCCCTGCTTTGGAGTCCTGGTTAAAGTTTAATAACGAAGTCCTTGACCGAGTAACTAACTGGCCTATCTGGACAAAACTTAAGAGGTTATATTTACAAAGGTCATATAATCATTGAGTTGATCCTTACGTCGCGGATTCGAATCCTACTGCGGGACGTGTAAGACCGGTCCTTCGGTTTCTGTATAAACCGAGGTCCAGTGTCGCATGCAGTAGGTGCTGGCACAGAAAAGTCCCTCACTGCTCAATTGTCTTATGTGCCGAGTATAGGTCTAATGAGACGTTAAACAACAAACAAACAAACAAACAAACGACCATAGAATTTGCAAAATCCAGACGTTAAACGAGATTTTTGAAAGCTTTGTAACATCAACTTTTTAAACATCAACGGTTTAAAAATTACTAACTTAGAGTATGCGCTTCCGTACCGAAACATCGGGAGACATAAATACTATATGCAGGTGAAAAAGAAACATTACTACATAAATAAAGTTGATTATGAAAGGGCTGAAGTCGTCCTGTTTATTACATAATTTAGCTGTTAAATTAGGTCATTAACGTCTGTAGTCGGTAAAACATCCAAATATGAAAGAGATGTGCTAGACTCTGTGGTATCTTTTATTTCATATCGACTCGACATACGAGAATGTTTTATTCTTAAGCAGATTTACTGGAATAAATCCTGCTTCATAGGAATATAAAACAGGTCGGTTAAAGTGTCTATGTGCAGTTCATTCTATACTGAAAAGAATTTGCTAATTGTAAAAGTTTTATTGGAAAACTACTTTTTTGTAACACAGTTAAAGATGTTGTTGGTTCAAGTGACGCCATGTAGGTTCATATTTGAATACAGGCAAACTTTTTGTAAGTAATATTTTTTGTAACATTAAAGTCTACATGTATTAAATTAATGTATGTTAAATTCATAAAGATATTGCATCTATTGAACCTTTGAAGACATATTAAGCATAAAATTGAAGTTAATACGGTGCTCCATATATATCGCATGACATTTAAAGTACTGCACTTAGAGGTTATGCTGCATGTATGAATGGGACAAGGGAAGCCAGTCTAACAGAGTGCAATGGTCGACAACAACAATCGTAAAGTGTTGATCGCTATGGACGGGAGTGAATACTCTGAGGAAGCGCTGAAATGTTTGTATTCAAACCGATGTCCATAGAACATAATTTTATAGGATTTTATTGATTATGAATTACACGTGAGAAACAGTGTTACGTGGTGCAAATAATTAGCATTACTGTAGTTTTATATACGTAACGTTTCCTTAGATAATTTGGTACATTTACCAGGTACGTCAAGAAATTGTAGCTTCTTTAAAGCCTCTCTAATCGACTTTATAGAGAAAACTATCACTTGTAAATGAATGAATACTACTGCGCAGTTAAACACCAAACAATTTTTAAACATACATAACTTGACCTTCTTATCTATCAAACGGACAGGGGAATTTAAAATTATGATGTTGTTTTATAAATCATCTAGTTTTGTGTACATATTTTAATAATTGAGATTTTTTCATTACGTTCAGGTCGTATGTTCAAGTAGAGGGCAATACATGTATATATAAAATATATAAATATATAAATGTAAATAGAAAGAGATATGACAATAAAAAAAAGTAAGGTGGGGTCGTTTATAGACTGAGTTTTGCTTACATTCTGTACATTGCATACATTTATGAAAAATCCTAATCATCAGGGACGTTGAAACGTAGTGCAGGTTCATTTTAAATTCTTTCTTGCTGTGATTCTCGTGAGAAAGTATGAAAATAATATGAAAAGCTTACACTAGTAATGTATGTTGAGTTACTTATATACATATACTAATATAAGATTATATATATATATATATATATATATATATATATATATATATATATATATATATATATATATATATATATATATATATATATATATATATATATATCTCCAAGATCTCCATATGTCTTCATAATTTTACATAATTTTTCTCTATGGATAGGACCAAAGACTTTTTCGACGTCAGTGAAATTAATGTAAAGTGTAGTTTGCCATTCATTCATTTGCTCTACGATGCTGCGCACTATGAAGATCTGCTGAGTTGTACTTCATCCCTTTCGAAAGCCAATTTGTTCCTTCCGCTGTAAAATTATTCCTTCTCTGATCCTATCAATTATGATTCTTCCTAGGACTTCGCTCACTTGAAGTAGTAGAGTGATACCTTTCCAGTTTTTGGTTTTTTTTTTCAGATTCAAGGTCCCTTAGGTTTCTTTGAGAACTTTATGATAAGTTCCTTCTTGCATGTTTCAGGTATTTTCTACTTATTCCATATCTTGTCAAGACGATTCTTCACCGTTTTCCTGTTGTAAAATAAAACTCTGTATCTGTTTTGACTAGTTACACTGTTCCAGGTGTCTTGCCATTTTGAGGTCTTTGATAGCATTTTTTTTTTAATTTCTGCATATGATGGTTCACTGGTATTTATCTCTGCTATAGGTGATTCTATAATTTCTTCGTCTTCTTGGCTCCTCCCTATTGAGAATCTCCTTAAAATGATAATTCCACCTAGCTTCTCAATGTCTTCTCCCTCCCTATGAAGAGCTTGCCACCTTTGTCTTCAATGTGTGTGGTTCTTTGTTGTGGTCCTTAATCAATACACACATTTTTTTTAAAAGTCCGTATAGTGTGTGCACGTTGTCTCTTCTGCCTGTGTCGCTATGTTTCCCACCACTTGTCTTTTTATTTCTTTGTCTTTCTCCTTATCTTGTAGTCGCCCTCGAAGTCTTTTTAGTGAGTTACTAAAAATTCCTTACTTATGTATACTCTCTGATTTATTATCATCTAGGTTGTTTCGCTTATCCAATGTTTCTTTCTTTTTTCCCCATTAGCATCTCCTTTATTGTCTCTGTGTAGCATTTCTATATGCTCTTTCACTCATTTTCAATCTAATCTTCAGATCATGATTATTTTCTTCGTTAGAACAATGTTTCTTAGTGATAATGTGATTGTCACGTATTATCAATTATTCACACAAGTGCAGATACATTGATAATTTACTGGTAATTTTAAAAAAAAATGCTGTAACTCAGATAAAAATTTTAGACTCTTTCTCTTTAAGGGTTTGCCAGTAAAGTGTGCAAAAATGATGATCACATAATTGTGCTCCACGTTACTGATCATAAAGAATCCCTGTCCTATTCATGTAAGTAGAAATGTACATTGTTAATGTATAACTAGAACTGCTCTTCAGAATATTCAGCAAAGTTTACATCTTCTACCCCAAAAATATTGAAAGATAAACAAACAACAACAACAAAATACAAAACATGAGAAATTTAAACCTGTTTAATGATACTGATATCATGAGAAATTAAAAATGCCTCCTCCTTTACAATGGCATCAATAAGCTTACAAACGAAATTATATTTTGAAAAAAGTATAAATCAATCAGCTACTCAGTTATACAAGACGTGTCAGCAGATGTGCCCTATCATACCCAAAATTTAACAGGTTTACCCTTCAAAACTAGTACTCCCCAATTGCAACCTTAGTGTAAAAATATTTGTAAAGCAATACATGTATGAGCTGCAACTATGATGTCAGATATTTTTGTTGCAAAACTGTAATTTACTATTTCAATGACAGAAAAGAAGAACGTTTATAATTTTTTGTTGTTCATATTTGCGACCGAAGAACTTTTAATAAGCTTAGATTGAAGCAAAATTACATTATTGTCGTCCTGTACAATATTGATTTGTTTAATAATAATAGAATACTATATATTTTATTGTGCAGAATCCTTTATTCTGAAACAGTTATACTTTATTTCTGCCTAATTGATCAAAAAGGTTTAAGTTATATACAAATTTATCATAAGTACACATAAACTTCTGAGATAAACTTCTGAGTAGTTAATAAAGCACAACAACTTTGTTCATTTCTTATTTAAACTCTCGTGCTTGAAGTGAAGTCATATGTACTCACCGACCATCCTATTCATATGAGGTACCAATTTAGACAATTTGATATTCCAATGCATAAGAGATGGTAAAATGGCACTGTTACAACGCACTTTGAAAAATTACGCACTTTGAGAATTTTTTTCAAAGTGCGTTAAATTTGGGACGAAATTAACGTACTTTGAAATAAAAAAAATGTTTCTTTTCAAAGTGCGTTAATATCGACCATATTAACGCACTTTGAAAAAAATGTGCACGGCTTGGTCAATATTCTTGCAAATTATGATAAATAATTATTTGAACCTGTATGGATAACTTTTTGGTGATGACGTCACTTCAGGATCTGAGATATAGCCGTTTTAAAGATTTTTAGGGGTTGTCTAGTTCCCAAAGGTTCTCGTAAATGTTATAAAAGGGAAATGGGTCTTTTATGGAGGAATGATTGTTTAGTAGCACGATTTCGTTTCCTTTTTTTATTTCCAGTCTATAATAAGTTCTGTAGATGTAGGGGTCGATTTATGACTTAAAGCATCGCATTTTTCTTAGGGAAAAGGGAGTAATTATGATTTTTCCATTGAAAATATATTTTCCCGCAGAATGTGATGGTCTTGGTTTTTTTTTTTTTTTTTTTTTTTTTTTTACAGTTCTTTAATTAATATTAAGAGGTATGAAAAAAAATTGCTTTTTATACAAGTTGATTTTGTAAAGCCTCTTTGGCCAAAGTATAGTCAGTTGGCTATTGTTGCTTAGATCAGCGATATGGTCCCTGAACCTCTCTTCTTTAATATAACAGGGTGCGTTAATATATTTTTTTTTTCAGGAAAGCTTATCTCAATTTTTTTCATGTATTTTACGGTAACTCAAATTTATTGAGAGAAAGTATACTAATGTCATACAACGTTATGTAAATACATATATTTGGGTAGGAAAGATAAAGAGTTGGGCTGAGGGATCCTCTACCTGTCTTCTCGTTCTCGACGAGGGTAGATCAATTCATCAGTTTTTCGAAAGAAATATAACATAATAATGATGTCTCTTACTTAAATCTAACTCCAGAATTTTTATTTTATACATTTTTTTTCAAAGTGCGTTAAGTATCTTCATGGTAAAAAAAAATGTTGATGTACACTCTTAACGACTTTCGTACTCGCTAATGACGTCGACATGTTATAACAAAGAAATATTAGAGTTTCTCGTGATTTAACTGATTTTAAGTTACTTCTTTATAAAAGATTATCCCTATTTCAGGACTACATCTACGATATTCGGATTCACTATTTGTCTTCCCTTATACAGTAGCTTGTTCAACACTGAAAGTAATTAAATATTTCAGAAACAATGCCTCTGTTAGAACCCCCAACTGCTGTCCTTTAGCAATAACTTATTTAAAGCTTAACTCTAGAAAACAATAACCAAATACTGAACAAGTGGCGAGATGCATTCGAAAAGAAAATTATATCATGACCGGTAAAACTATAAAACACCAGCAAGACACTTTATGCATGGAAAAAAACACTGACATGATCATTCTTTGCCGGATATCTGACTTTTAGATAGAAAGGGGCAAATAAGGCAAAAATGTGATATAATTTTTTAACGGAAGACGAAGTATTGATTCTATATCATTTAAATGAGAGTAACAAAATAATTAAATGCCATTATGGTTCCAGTTTTTGAAGATTCAAATTAAGGAGGCAGGTACCGCTTCTGAACCAGCAACTGTTATATACCATGAGTCTTTATAGATTGTAGGATAGAAAAAACAGCTGCAAATGCAGTTTCTTCTGAAATAAAATTTATCATGTATATAGATTTTATATTGATAGCTCCCTGGTTACCTGTAGACCCCATGATATTCCAGATGAAGGTGAAAGAGGAAGAAGAAAAGGCCAAAGAGACCATTAAGAAACTGGATGCCTTGATAAAGGATATCGGAGTATGATTATCTAGACTTGTTTGAAGATAACTCATGATGATGATGATGATGATGATATATATATATATATATATATATATATATATATATATATATATATATATATATATATATATATATATATAATACTTGCTGAAGGTCATCCTTATTTCAAAATTTCCAGGTTTCTTTAAAAGAAATATGTATGAAAATAAAGCAAAACACAGTTATTCCCTATAATTTCAGTTCCTCAAGATCAGAATTTCTCAGAACTGAATCAATACTGCAAAAATTTTCAATAATGTGGTATTTTTAGATCAAAGCACACGTCATTCGAGCCCATGGCAACCCCGGAGAACAGATCACTAAAAAGGCTGAAGAACTGGGAGTCAACATGGTGATTATTGGTTCTCGTGGATTAGGAAAAATTAGGCGGACTATTATGGGGAGTGTGAGCGATTTTGTGCTACACCATTCGTACATACCTGTCGTGATATTTCGCCATTAAAGAAATACAAAAACCGTATTAATTATGAATAACTCGTGTCAATAATGCCAATATCTTATGACGAACAGATGCCTTTCAGTGTTGATTAAAAATAATTATGATCATTGCTATAAAACAGAGATAGAGAAGAAGAATTATTTAAAGATTTTTAAGACTTTGTTCTGTAACAAATGTATTGATTTATTTCTGTTAGAAATGCTTGTTGATTTAGGTTACATGGGTATAAATTGTATAGTATATTTATTTGTAACGTTGTTTCTTTTTTACATCACTAACCAAAGAATCTGCGGTATTGTATTTTGACAGTTCGTTTACATCTAAAATAAAATCGTCTAGTGTTCTTGTTTTTCCTTTTCTTTTAACTATAGTCCCGCTGGGCGCGTCATTATTGTTGATGTAAATATGGTTGAAAATCATGACCCAAAAGCTATCATTTAAATGTCTTAAATCTACAGGAAGTCCCGATCTTTCTATTGGCGACAGAACTTCTGTCGAGGATGCGCCAGACCCTAAAGTTTTAGTTTTGGAAGGAAAAAATACGGAATTTCTGGAATTTCATTGTTCTATCGCTGTAATTGGTTTCCGCGTTAACACAAAACAAGCATTTCATGAAATTCTATGTTTCAAAATGGACTTTCATAAAATACCACTTGAGTTGTGCCGTTGGAAAAAAATAAAATAATTTTCCTACCTACCCTATTTTTTTTTCAGGCTGGTAGCAGGAAACAAGACTATTATTTTTTTGGCCTAAAATCAAAATAGATGTACAAATGTCTCTAACAAGACTACTAGTTTGTTATTATAATAAAAAAAGAGAAAATAAGCTCCTTGACTCAAAATTTTATTCTTATAAATAAAATGATTCTTGATTTAGTTTACTCATGTACTAAGTGATATTGAAGTCTGACTAAACCTGCAGGGAGGGTAGTGTCTGGCCAGTAGAAAAATAGATCAGGTTATGTCAAAGTCACGAATAATGATTTCAGAGTCAAACATTAGCATGGTTGAAGTTCTGTCTTCAAGTTGTATGAAATTCAAGGTACATGTAGCAAGGTCAATGCAAAATCAGGTCAAGGTCAATGTCAGAGTCAATGAGTATAATCAACATTAGGAAATGTAATAGCAATGCAATGAATAGGGAGGGGCAACATCACAAAATCTTGAAATTATTGAATTGTGATTATCAAAATTATTTTAATCAGTGTATGATGATAGACAATTATATCTTCGACAGTTTCTTTTTACATGAGCAAAAATGTAAACTGATGGAGGGCAGAAAGGAGAATGGAACAACAAAGATGAACATGACAAATTATATACTGTAAACCAATTTCTATTCACGTGCGAAAAATATCTGCGATTTTCATGACCTATTTTAACTCCCCAATATTAATCGCCGCAAACCATTTATCTTGCTATATATTTGTAAAGGACATTTCCTCAGTCGCGAAAAATAATCGTTGCGGATTGTTTTCAAACTGAAGAGTCGCAAATAAAAGATGACGCGAATAATAGTTGGTTTACAGTAATTTATCATGTGAATCTTTGGTTGTTCCATTCTCCTTACTGTCCTCCATCAAAAAAGGAGAATGGAACAACCACAGATTCACATGACAAATTATATAACCTGTCATGTGCATCTTTTGTTGTTCCATTCTCCTTCCTGCCCTCCATCCAAGCATACTTAGTATGGCAAAATATGAGGCATATAATATTGACTTTCAAGGGGGGGGGGGGTACTGCAAAAAAAGGAAGGAGAAGGGAATTTCCATTGAATTTTATATTGGCAGTTATTGCTTATACATCCATTTATTGTTTGTTTCCATGGAAACAACATAGTGCAAAAACACTCCTGTTGCAGTAATTTTGATATATTTGTATTTTATTAATTTAAGTGTTCGTCTGTGTATGTGAGGGTAAGTACATGATTAGAAGTTGATCAAGCACTGAGTCTCTAGTTTTGTATTTTGATAATATTAACATAATAGGGACTGTTCCTGAACTATCTTAATGTGGTTGCCAAAGCAACTGTTTTTAAAAATGAATTTCTATTTTAATGCAAGTGAAATGACAAGGTTAATTAGCATGATTTATTTTATTGAAGAAGAAACATAACATTCAACGATGTGTACATTGATAATATCAATAATAATAGGGATTGTTCCAGAACTATTTGGTTGCCATAGCAACTGTTTTTTTTAAATTATGAATTGAAATGAAGTAAAATGATAAAGTTGATTAATTTGATTTATTCATTGATTCAGAAGAAGAAATATTATAATGCAATGTGGCTATGGTTATTTTATATTGTTAATATCAATAATTATTTGAATAGTTCCTGAACTTTGTGGTTGCCATAGCAACGTAGTAATTTTTTTAAATTTTAGATTTCTATTTTGTTTAATGTTAAGTGAATTGAAAAGGTAAATTAGTGAGTTATTTTTTCATTAATGATTTAATTAAAGCAGATATGTACAAAAAATCAGTCAAATATAGAATCTTCAAATTAATCCAAATTCTCCATGGCAACCATTTTTGTTTTCATTTTATTTTATTTTAAGAAATATTACCACTCTAGAAATTTTATATTTTGTTGAGTATGGAATGAACTTTTACCTGATGGTGGTCATTTGCTATGGAGTGCCTGCATTTTTTTGCTATTATTTGTAGAAAATGCCCAAAATCTGCATTTTTTAAAATTTGTTAAATTTTTAAAAATTGACACTTTTCATAAAAAGATCATTCATTCATGACCAACTACAGAATTAATTCACTAATTGTGGTAGTTACTCCTATAAATAATGCATCAGAATAGGTAACCGTCAATCCTGTATGAAATGTCTAGAAAATAAAAAATAAAGATGAAGTGGGTACAATTTTAGTAGAATGCTGCTCATTTATGAGCTATAAATGGCGGTTTTGGTAACCATGGCAACCGGTACTCAAATTTGTCTGTTGACCCCAAATATGACCTATACATGGTGTTTCTACATTACATGCAAAATATCAGCCAAATCTGTGATGTACCATTTCCAACTTTTTTCTATATTCTTTGATGCTTACAGAGAATGACTCTTAAAAGGCAATATGCGAACCAAGTATCCTTTTGTTTTCACTAAATCAGTGGTGATAAAATAATACAAAAGACTACATAAACAATTTGCCATTGTTCCAGATGTCAAGGCTTGAAACAACATCTTTTTTGCAATAAGGCTCATTATTATAACTGTATTTTAGAAAAACTTCGTTTTATTCTTTATCTGGAAATCCAACTTTTACTCACAATTAACGTTCTTTGGATGAAATTTTCAAAAATTACATTTCAGTCTATAATGCTTTTAACATTCCAGTCAACCAAGATGTGTTTGATCTACCTTACCTACACTGAATCCCAAAACTTCATAAAAATCTTTACAAACAAAGATATGATGCCGGATCCGCAAATGCTCTACTAAGCCCCTATCAATACTTTTCACAAACTGTTGTAAAGGAGAAACTGTGCTACGTTATATTCTAATATTCTAGAAGTGGTGTTAATAAAATATGGTTTCTCAAAAATTCTAATTAACTTTAGAAAATTTAAAAATGGAACTCTTGTGATTGGTCATCAACAAAATTACTTGGTTAAAAATCTCTCTGATTCTATACATAAGTACGTTGAGGTTCATATTGAAAGGATTTAGAGTTCCTCATTGACAAAATATACGAGTAGTCCTTTTAGACCTACGTCAACCTAAGACTAAACGTAAACTTACGACTTTTTTGGCGCAACGTCAAACGTACGATTTTTTGTGAATAATCAAAATCTTAAGGGAAAAAAAACTTAAATCTTACGTCTACGACTGACCGTAAGATTTTTTGTGAATAGATGTCCAGGTCTTCCAAGAATCTGTTGGAATCCCGACGGGCTCCTTTATTAGCCGATCCGTTTTTATATTCCTATGATGAAGAATTTATTCAAACACTTTTACATGAGAAAAAAAAATCTTGCTGTGACCTTCTTCTCGACATTCCGAGATATTGACGACGTTTTATCAATTAATAATAGTTACTTCCATTCATAAGTAGACTCGATACATTCCAGTGAACTCAAAATAAAAGCACCACAGAGTCTGACACATCTGTCTCAGGTTTTGATGTTTCACTCACTATAGGTGGTAGGGCCAACTAAAAGCCAAACTGTATGACAAATGAGATGACTTCAGCATTTGCATAGTCAACTTTCCTTATTTATGTAGTAATATTCCACTGTCACCATAAAGTGTTTACATCTCCCAATATATTTGTTATTCAAGAGCATGCACTAAGTTCGATCAATTTTCAAACCGAGGCAGGCTACTGACAAGTAAGTTGATAACACAGGGATTTCAACAACCTCGTTTTAAGTCAGCATTTCGTAAATTCTAATGACCTTGTTAGCAAAAGAATCTATCTGTGGGTCGTATTCTGATTGGTACGCAGGTATGTTAAGGCAGTACCCAGATCATATTTCGGCGAATTTAGACTTTTTTCGTAAAATGTAACATTGATAAATCGGAAAAGCCATAGATAAAACATTTACTATAATTATCCATTGTATAGACGTCATTGAGTTTTACGCTAAAAGAAGCACTCCACTACGACGTCATCATGTGACGTCTATAAACAGAAAAATTGCCTTAATGAAAAAGTGAAAAGTTCAACACTACCCCGGGGATAATTCAATTCTTCTTGAGAAAATAATTATGTAAAAACATCACTGGGTCATGAAAAGTGCTGCTAGAATCCTACTCTCCCGACACAGAAAAAATTATTCCAAAGTTTCGCATGAAACCTTACCAAAATTATTACATTTTGTACAAACGATCAAGGAATTGTCATCAATTCATGTTAATCATACGATTCTAGCAGCAGTTTCCAAGTACTATAGAAAACAAGCTTTCGATACAAACAAAAATTATGTCTCAAAGTATGCGGCGTAGTGTTGAACTTTTGCAACTTTGTTGGTATAGAACGACAGAGGAAAGGCTGATCGGGATTTTTAAGCACTGCCTGTGTTCATTATAAGAAAACATGATTAGAATATATCAGCGTACCTGATTCTTAATCTTTAATTCCTTATGAATCACACATAACATTCATGGTATATGCTTGAAAACTCCCATTTTACATATTTGTTTACATGAATTCTCGTCACGTTTCATTTTCACTCGGCAAATATTTGATCAATAGTTATGACGTCATGGGTTTGGTATTTAACCCCCGTGATAAATACTTAGCTGTTTATACCACCCAAAAACGACATGATTTTGTTTATATTATGTTTTTGAATGATTCCATTCATTTCTTGGACCTGAAATCAAACTTTAAATATAGATATTAAGAAATCATTATTTCTAAACTTCACGTCATACAGCTTACTATGACGTCATATTGTAGAGGCAAGTAGTATATCTCTGGATGTAGCCTTAACATACCCGCGTATATTTTATACAAATTGTTAGGTCTTTGTTTTTATACATATTTTGAATGAGGATTATTCCGTATACCTGATCAATAAATAGGGCTCACGGCAAGTGTGCCCGGTCTACAGGGGGTACTTACTCCTCCTAGGCATCTGATCCACTTCTCCACGGAATTTCCAAGTGTCCGGTTTTTTTTAATGAATTGCGTTCACTCTATAGGTCTTTGATTTCCATTACAAAAGGCTTTTAATTGCATGAAAAACTTCTACAAAAATGTCCTTTTATCCTCGTGTATACATGTATATCTAATGTAGGTGCATGTACACCAATCACGATAAGTGTACATATGTGTCACAGTTTGCTGAGTACTTTATTCTAATTACGGAAATTTGCATGTAAAAAAGCTGCAAAAATTTGGTTAAAAGGTCGTGACTATCGGTTTCATGAAAAATGTGATTTGTTAGAAATCATTAGCGTGACACCATGCAATATATCTTGAACTATTAATCAGTTCAAAATTCGTTGACTAATTCATATGTTTATAAATAATGAATAAGTGAAATTATTTGAAAAGAGAGACCGATATATGTTTCTATATGCCAGTTTAAAAATAAGACTTTTAAGCATGGATAATGATACATGTACAATTTTCACCGGAAGACAATTATTATTCAAATAAAACGGAAGATATTGCTATGCATGACTAACTAGTTTCCTCAATCCTCCAAAATATTAGACGATCCCAAGGGTTTGTAGGTTTTAAGCTATTTAAATACATTATTCATTTTGAAATGTGACACATTTGAAATATAAATGAGTTACAAGAGTGTTTAAGCATGACGTCACTTTATCTTCATGAAACATAAAGTCTGAGTTCAAAAGATTTTTTTCGCAGACGCTTCTTCAGTAAATTCAATTAAATATATGCTTATGTGGCGTTCCATAAGTATTACGTGACAAGCGTGGCCTTAGTGTAGTGAAGTTCTTTAGCTATACAAGTCAACAAATTAAAATTTATCTAATCTTTTCCTGCTCCACACATAGTACTACGAAACAAGCGCAATGGCGGACAAAAGTAACAAGCGAAAAGTGATGATTGCAATGGACGGGAGTGAATACTCGGAGGGAGCAATGAAATGTATGTATTTGTCAGTTACTATCGATTTCCAAACAGGAAAATTTCTCTTGCTTTTCTGCATCGTGATAATAAATGAGAAAATCAGTGACATAACGGGCTACATCATGTGAGTAAAGTTTTGATAAAATTCAGTACAATATACAGTGCATATAAAAATGTATTTAAAGAAGAATTGTGTTTAAAACTAGTGAATGAATGTTTTGTTTTGTTTTTGTTTTTTTTTGTGGTTGAAAATAAATGAATTGTCTTTGGAAAAAAAACTACGTTAAACAAATGACACTTATAAATAAGTATACTTCAGATAAAAGCTTGGAATAATAATAAATACAGCTTTTTTCTATATTGATTGTTTGTTTTAGGGTTTGTCAAAAGTATGTACCGGAAAGATGATGAGATCATTGTAGTTCACGTCACTGATCACAGAAACTCAATGGCATATGGATGTGAGTAGACGTATAATATTATAGAGATATAGGGAATTACAGAAAAGCATCACAAAAGGACAGAACACAATGTAAAATGTCTCACTTTTTAATGAGAATAGCATCACAAAAAATAATCTATAACAATTTCCTCACTTTCAACCTTCATGGTTATTTAAGACCTAATAATGTGAAGGAAAAAAAGTTAAGAATTCGCAAGGAAGTAACATTACATGTATTATATATTGGGAAAACTGTCTTTCGATCAGTTAAAGAAATATGTAATATAATGTTGTTTTTTTCTATATTCTAATCCTTTTCCTACTCGTAACTGTATCCCTTGAATTCGACTCATTTGCATGTTGTTGTTGAGCGAATTATTTCCTTCTTCCTCCATACATACAAAATTCAATAGAACGTAAAGAACAATTTAAAAGAAGTCTAAAATATGCGCATAACCTGAACGTATGAGATGTAAACAAAAAAACCCCCACATCTTTTTATGCTTAAGCTACAACGTCTAAAGAAACATCAATGATTACATGAGCTTTAGCTGCCTGGGTAAAATTACCAGGAAGGAACTGATATCATGCACTGGGAATGCATAATTGACAATAAACACTTGGTTATGAAAAATTACAAACATATTTTCTGCTTTGAAACTTTGATAGATGATTTTAAGTGCAACTGGGAATTTGTAGGGTTAAAAAGGTAAGAAAATACAGTGTTATGATAAATGTAGGGTTAGCCAAGATCTGTACGTGTACGCTGTAATGCTATCGTGAGGTTTGATAACCTCTACCCAGATGAAACATTGATTAACTTCAATTACACTTTGTCTACAGGATATCAGATACTCATTATATCAAGATTTATTTTCCCTCTGTCGAATCATCTACGCTGTTCTTTTTCATAAGATTTATTCAAACTCTTAAAAAACTGATAAGGTTTAATCAGCGATGTTTAGCTAAACTATTTCAGAATTTTTTTGCAATATGAACTTTTTAGTACCTTAATATTTAATATTTCCACATCTAGCGTAATGCATAGAGAACTAGAGATGCCATGAAATTTCCAAAGAATGTTCTTGTATTATATAGTATACAAGTTCAAATGTACACATGAGATATGCATCCCATAGACTTTCATAACAAATACATTTCAGTTCTGTTTTTCTCCTCATATTTTCTGGTATTCTGGATATTTTGAAAGTTGATTAATTTTTCCTGTCTTTCTCTTAAAGCTGCTTGGATGCCTGTAGACCCCAAAGTTGTTCACAAGGCATATAACGAGGAAGAAGAAAGGGCTAAAGTGCAAATCAAGAAACTAGATGCAATATTAATGGACGCAGGGGTATCATTGTTTTCTAAAACATGACTACCATACTGGTCTGATAGTAAACTCTATTGATTTTTCGCATGCGTGTGTTTCATGCTATCTTCACCATATATTGTTTTTTTGTTTTATTTCTTAGTATTGCAGATTTTTAATTTCCAAACAGGCAATGTAAGAAAGAATGTATATTGAAAATCAAAAAATGTAATCACAAACACCACATTTGCTACTCAAATAATTTTTTTAAGCACAGCCAAATCCATACTGTTCCATGGAAATGTCTATTATAATGTTTTATTTTAGGTTCAAGGGAACGTTATACGTGCTCACGGAAATCCTGGTGAACAGATAGTCAAAAAGTCTGAAGAACTAGGCGTAACTATGATAATTATCGCCTCTCGTGGATTGGGAAAGATCAGACGGACAGTCATGGGAAGTGTGAGCGATTATGTGGTCCACCATTCCTCCATACCAGTCATTGTGTGTCGCCATTAATCGTTAAGTGTTCACTGAAAATCAGGGATATTGTAATGTTCATCAGTTATCTGTGTCATAGCTATGCTTTTACTTCATGTGTTAGTGTCAATAGCGACTTGTTCTATGGATAATCCGCATAGCAGAATGCGAGAAGCGATTGTAAAATATACTTAGTAATATTGAGATATTTTATTTGATGATCAGAGATTTTTAATTTAATATTTTTTGTTTAATATCAATATTAAGATATAAATCAAACTATTATTTTATGAAATGTGAAGACCATTGAGTTTTTTTTTCATTTTAAATATTTGTTGTCTTTTTAAATGTATTCTTATTGTTGTTGATAAAAGATGGCGTTAACGAATGTTATGAAGACTTACGTACGTTTCTTACCCCAAATACATGGTGATCCTTTAATCATTTAATATTTATCAGAATGATGAGAAATAAGCATTTCTGATAGGTTTTACAAATCTGCCGGAATCATCAGCTTTTCTGATAGGTTTTATAAGTCTGCCGGAATCACAATTTTTAATATACATATGGCCGACTTTACATATTACTTTTTGAAAGAGAAAGGAGATACGTTATTTTCCTGAATTTTAAAACTCCTGAAATATTTTTTCTTCGAATTATCCCCTTTTGTTACACAATCAGATTGTATTACTCCGCGTATGAATATTTAGGTCAAACATTATTTAAAGTTGGATCTTCTGTTGGACATTCATACGTTTTCTTGCCGAATCTCATCATTGAATGATACACAATAAAAATGTAAATTTTACATTTTTTTTTTCTTTGATCAAGGTATCAAAGGAATAATTGTCGGATTTTTTTTTCAACAAATGCTTCAAACATTGCTGAAGTTTTTCATCTAAGTTTCCTTTGATACTTCAATCAAAAAAAAAAAAAAAAATAATAATAATAATAATAAAACATTCAGTTCCTAAATCATTTAATATTTATTAGATTGATGAGAAATCGGCGATTCTGATTGTAAAAATAAATCCTTTGATACCTGCATCAACAAACTTTTCACAATTTAGCCGGAACTACATTTTTTGATAACATAATATCAAAATGTTGCATATAACGATTTTCAGAGTATTTTTTGAAAGAAAAAGTGAAATATTTTTTAACCTTTTTGAAACTTTGAAACTTTTATTTTCACTAAAGCCCCCACATGGGGTATGTTAGTACAATAAGTGTTTAACAAATGAACAAATCAACATGTGAACCGTTAACATAATGAACTACAAAAAGATCTTTAATCTGTTTCAAAACTTTTCCGGTACGTTCCAGAGTTATTTTCTACATTTGTTTCTCTTCGAATTATTCCCCTTTGCTAAACAATCGGAACTCGTTTGCATGACAACATTGCACGGGAAAGAAAGGAATTAATCATTATATAGAATGTGAAATTATTGTTTTTTAAGATAACCGATATGAAGAAAAGAATTTATGAGCTTTTTTTCTACTACCAAAGCTGGGAAATGCCGTCAATGCTATTCTCTGGAAATGCACTCACAGAAAAACGACATTGCGTGAGAGTGTTAAATAACTGGCAATGAGACTCTAACAGATTTTACATCCAAATGTTATTCATGCACAGAATGTGATATGTTTATAATACTTAAAATGTATGAGGGTTCGCAAAAAAAATCTAAAATTCTGTGACCGAGAAAGAAGTTATCAGAGTAATTTGAAGTACATGTGTAGCTTCCCTTTACATTTACTAAGCTCACCGAGAAATATTTGAAGTACATTACATATCCAAGGAGTTATAACAAAAAGTTATAACTATATCCGGTAAGTAATTTTTGCGTAATTGTAACAAACAGCTGGTAATACATTTTGTGAACGTTGTTTGTTATGTATTAATTAAACCGTGTATGAATATTTAGGCCAAATATTATTTTAAGTTGGAACTTCTGTCGGGTATTCATACGTTTTCTTGCTGAATCTCATCATTGAAAGATAAGTATTACACGGTAAGAAATAAATCTTACAATTTTTTTTCCTTTGATTGAGCAATCAAAGGAGAAATTGTCGAAATTTTTTTTTCATCAATGCGCGTAGTATTGATGAAGGAAGTTTTCCGTCCATTTGTTCTTTGATACCTGGATCAAAGAAAAAACATGATTCATCTCTTAAGTCATGACTCTATCTCAGGCCCTAGTCTTATGAAACATGAAACGTGAGGCGTACACATCCAAGCTATAGACTCAACACAGCTTAACGTGCCTGCAATCGACGGAGACTCTGACGCATCACTAGAAAAGCTAACTCACTAGCGAGGCAGTATAAGTTCCATATGTACTGTCCGCTGTACCCTTCCCCACTTAGCATGTGTCCTTTCTGGGTGCCTGGGGTCTCTTCAGAAACGGCCATGCATACAACATTCGTAGCTGCAGGTCTGGTCAGAAAAGAATTTGGAAGTCTTAACCCTATAGAGCTTCCTTAAGCAGGTCACGAAACATCACTACGCTGCCACCAATTTAACGCCAAACTGTCACCCACACGCTCGTCGAGGCTTAACTTGCCTGAAATCAAGGGAGACCCTATAGTATCATTAGGAAAGCAAGCTCACTTGCGGTGTTGTATAAGTTCCTTACGTACTGTCCGTTACAATATGATTGGGGGAGTTTGCTGATTAGAATACTGGAGTGACGGAGTTGTACAGGTAAGAAGTTTTGTGTGTTTCAAAATTTTCTTTTTGTCTTTTATATCTTGAGAACACTACTAATTTCATCATTCTCATTTGAATGATAATTTTTCAGTTGCTCCACTCCAAAAGTGTAACCTCAATCTGTTACAATCTCTGTGACTCTCTTCCAAGTATATCTGGTGAACAATTCACACGATTCTACTAGTTCTGGAATTTCTACAATTCAACTACTTTACTTCAATTGCACTTTCTTTGTTGTATATTGTGAGATATTTATAATCAGTGTATTCTTCTTCACTAAAAAGCATTAAAAATCTAAAACATTCATTTTCCTATGATACACTTTTATCCATGGCACGGCGTATGAAAATACATGAGGAACTACGTTCACTTTCAATGCATTTAAACATTTCCAAGATTGCAAGTCACACTCGAATACAACATATACATTTTATCTGCAACATGTACAATAAAAAATACATGAAGTTTGAATGGATGATTTTCAACCAGATTTCAATCTTCAATGAAGAAAGTGACATTTTAGAAATGTTCTCTGAAACTGATGTTGCCTGTTGATTTCCAGCTGGTCAATTCCAAAATTTAACTAAAGGCTTAAATCTGCATATAAAGGGAAAACTTGATAAATCTGATTCCCGGGAATAGCCAAAAGCAAATATAATAATTACAGTTATTACCCATTAAGATGATTCCATACCCACACTTCTATGGGTTCAAAGTTGAAAGACTGCATACATTTCTACTGAATATTATTTTAAGAAAATTAATAATAAAATGTATAGCCCTGACGACTCGTTCCTCAAAAATCTGTTTTGTTCTCTTCTAAATACATAAATAAATAAATAAATAAATAAATAAATAATAATAATAATAATAATAATAATAATAATAATAAAAATCATTATCTTTTGATTTCTAAACTGTTTCAAATTGTCTTAAGGTCAAGATCTACTAAATGAAAGGAGCCTACAGATTTCTCAAATTTGAGAAATAAATTCCTTTAATGATACTTTATAACTATAGCTTGGTCAAATAAGGTGTATCGGGGCATAATTTGTAGATAAACGAGACGAAAAATCATATTTTAAACTGTCATTTTCAATGAAAAATAAAAAAAAAAAAACAGTCACGAATATGGGAGTTTTTCCATATCAGACAAATGGAAGGAATCCAGATTGCCTACAGTCTCTCAGAAAATGGTAATTTGTGTGTTCTTAGCCTCTTCTTTGAAATAAAATCAAATTGAATATAGGTATCGGGATTAATTTTCACATGATTTCAAATTGAATTCCATGAAAGTAATTTATTTTCTACATAATTCTATTAGCGCCGTAAAGTACGTGAAAAATAAAGTTAAAATTGATTATGGCGTCATAATGGATCTAGCACCAAAAAGACAGTCTAAAGTTATTTACTAGATCTTGACCTTAAAAAGTAAATTGAATGCAAAAAAGGAATTACATGCAAATTGCATGGGATTATTTGAAATAGAAGGCATCAATAGATATCTTTTGTGAATTTAGATAACCTGCAAAACTGGATAATACCAATATTGTGAAATTAAATAACTTCTAATGTAATCACAGAAAATTATATACTGTAGTAATAAATTTTAAACTTTTAATTTCTAGAGGCTTCATATCTAAAACCTTTATAAAATATAATGCTGACTTCGAAACTTTGATTTGCCATAGTGTAAACGTTGTCACTTTGATTTACTATAGTGTTCACTATGAAAACTTTGATTTACTATAGTGATAACTTTAACAATATGAAAACTTGATTTTGCTATAGTGATCACTATGAAAACTTTGATTTACTATAGTGATAACTTTGACACTATGAAAACTTTGATTTACTAAAGTGATAACTTTGAAACTTTGATTTACTATAGTTAAATATAATGAACAATAGTGAAATATAGTTAACTATAGTTTACAATAGTATTTTTTGTTAGGGGAACTACCATTCAAAGTAGTTGTAAAATATATGCTTATGTTTTGAAGATTCAAAGAACAATGTGAAATGCCGCTTTGAATAATTTGGAATTCACTCCCAACCAAGTTCAAAATTTACAATATATCAGACGAGATTTTATGTCTGTGGCCAAGAAAATATAAACTAAATATAAAAATTGTTTAGAATTAATAATTAAAAGATTAAATTTTAGGAAACAAAGTAAAAATCTTGTGAAAAACAGCATACATCTATCCAGCCCTTAACATAGTAAAGAAATAAGTACAGATTTAGATCTTCAGGTAAATTGCAGGCAGCGGTCTACATTTTAACTTCTTTCCTTAGATTGTCACCGTGTGAAATAAACAGATTTTGAGTGACTGTCTTTTTCCCCCCAGAGTGCTAAATTAAGTTTACTTAAAAGACCCTCACCGAAGGACATTTGGATACTACCTGAACCTAAGTTAATCTTTTGATTAAATTATACCCTCATGTCAGTTATGACTAACGTTTCAAGTTACTTTTTTACTGTTATTATATCCTTTTTTATTGAATAGGATTTTCGGTTGGACAAAAATTCGAGTAAAAATTCCATGTATAGATCTTAAATAAGACAGAGTACATTTCAAATGCTTATCATTGGGCAGTTACGCATAGAAATTTGGAAACTATTAAGGTTCTATTGATAAGAATATACATGATCTGTAGAATCAACCACACAAGCACTATTTTCAGACTAGGCAAGAACACAAGATGTACTTACTTACAGGTCTAATGTTATGTACAGTGTCACTTATTGCTTTGGTAAGTCAATGCATCTGATTACTTTTTCATTATAAGTTATGTTTTTGGAAAGAATGTTTTGTTTTTCAACAATTACACAACTTCTATGGTAGTTGAACTACCACAACTAGTACGGTTGTGGAACCTACTAACTGTTGCGGATAAGTCGAAAATTTATTTCCAAAAGCTGAATTACTTATTTGAATTAAAATTAAGTTTGTTGTCATTCCCTCCGCACCAAACTCCATAGCTTAGATTCATTTGAATTAATTTTTGTAGGTCCACAAAGTACAATCTGTATATTCTATTTTTATATTTTCTCAACATGATATATTTTGATTTTTCTTTAAACTGTAGGGTGCTCTGAGAGATGAATGTGCATCAAACAGTGATTGTCCCGCCACACATTGCTGTGTTACAGATTACCACGGGAAATACTGCTCTGCCTATCAGAACGCCACCCAACCTTGTCATCTCCCTGGCCATTCACATCATCTGTATCATTGTAATTGTGCACCGGGTAAATAATATACATATCTACTCACCTTTAGGAAACACTAAAGGAAATCGATCTCCAAGTCAGTGATACACTCGCTGTACTATTATGCATTGTGCCTAGGTAAACAATCCAATGCTAAAATTCTCGCTACCCCAACTGAAGTCAGGGGGACATAAAGTTATTATTCCACCTATCATTTTGGCTGCAGAAGTTCTCGAAGATGGCCTCGACAATCACAGGTCACATGTATGAATAATCACCAAGTCTAATTTTGTATGTATCATTTAAAATTTTCTTAATGGCCACCATTGCCACGGAAACAGAGAAAATATGAAAATTTTAAATCTCACCTTTCTCAGTAACTTCCCGGCTAATTCTTTTGAAATGTAAAAGGCTTATTCTTTTCATCAATTGCAAGTCAAACTTATTTCTGCAACAGCAAAACATTGGTATCGTTTGGACACTTTTTTCTTGCTGTGTTGCTCTGAAAACAACAACGTCAAAATATCATTTGATTTGATATTTTTCCTCTACATATATTCAAACTGCAAAATTTCTCTGCTTTCAACTCCAATACTACAGTTTTGGGGTGAATTCCGGATGACATATACTATTGTTTGCAATAGCAAAGTTTCTAGAAACGTTTTCTGACACATCTGTTTCATATTTGGATATTTTACTTGAAAAAGACGTTAATGTTAATCTAACCACCAAGCTTTATGATAAACCTGATGACTTTAACATTTCAATCGTCAACTTACCTTACTTATGCAGCAATATACCTTCATCACCTGCATACGGGGTTTATATCTCTCAGCTGATTCGATACGCAAGAGCATGCTCTACGTATGTAAAATTTCTAAAACGAGGTAAATTATTGACAAACAAGTTGATGAAACAAGAATATCAGCAGTCTCGTTTTAAAGTCATCATTTCGTTAGTTCTATGGTCGATACAATGACCTTGTCAGCAAATACAATTTATCATTGAGTCAAATGCTGACTGACGTTTTTCATACTAATTGTTAAGCCATTATTTACACACTGAATTGTCGACGAATTTTTCCGTTATTTCCCGATCATGACAAAGAGCACACGGCGGGTGTGACCGGTCGGCAGGGGATGCTCACTCCTCCATGGCACCTGATCCCACCTCTGATGTTTTGGAGGTCCGTGTTTGCTATTCACCTATTTTGTAATGTTTAATGGATTTTTGAGCTTGAATACTGTTCGTTATCTCCATATATTTCATTTCTGTTGTTTTGTCAATAATAACCATACTTGTAAATCCGAAATTACATCCTCCCAACTTATTCGCTATTCTGTTACCTTTGAACTGTTTATTAGCCAGAATGGGGGAAGGGTTAAAACAAAGTATAACCATATAAGCATTCTTTGTGTTACATGTCTACTCACTTTGTACCGCTGTGTTTACGATGCGACCGTTGGGGTGAGAGCCTTTTATTTATTACTAAGTAGATAATAGAAGAAAGTCCACAACAAAACTTAACTCTTCAACATTCAAAAACGTTTAATATACTAACTGCAATATCCATTACAACAAGGTGGCTTTGGGGTGAACTTTTGTTGTTGATACGAGAACGCAGTTTGTGACGAGAAGCAATTTGTAAAGGATTGTGGGTCCAGAAGTAACTTGGGAAGTAAAAAAATCAATTTTCTCTTCTCCCAGGCGTTGTCGTAAGAGCTCGCAGAGATCTCTAAATAGTGATCTTCTCCGCACTACCTGAGCTACCAAACTAAATGACACACATACAAACTTACAGTCTTCGTGCTACCTGGACTGTTAAGGACATAGGATACTCAAAAAATTAGTCTTAGAAATCTGTAAAACAGTTCTGCAGGCCTAATTATTGCTAAAATGCATATTTATTACGAAATTTTCATATCGAACCAGAATTTTTTTCATTCTCACCAAATCTGTACTTTAATATCTTTATTAAAATACAGTGCAATAACATGATGAAGTTCCTGAAATAAATTTATACAGTTTTATTTTAATTTATCATGTAATAAATCAATTTGGAACCCAAAACAGCAAAAAAAGTAAGATCAAGTCTACACCCAGATGTTGGGTATCCTATATGACCCTCAACTTTTACATCCAAATACTCACTGCATACTGTAACCTTGACTTCACTCAAGGCAATGAGACACGTGTTCGCTCTGTAACTATAAAATGTATATACTAGAAATACCTTTTTTTTTTTTATATACATTCTTTATCTGCATCACAGTTCCCTGTCTAAGGTCAGCGATACACATTTCCTTTAACGCTACCATCAAATTAAGAATGCACGGTCTACCTTTTGCACCATTAAATGAATTTGACTGTTGGTTAAGTGTTATATAATCTCATTTCAATTTTTTGTAAATGAATAACATAATGAAAAATATTGAAAATAACAAATACTTTTTTTACACATTTCTTGGATATATAAGTATATTATAGAAATGCTATGTTTTGTCGAAGGTCACAATTGCCAACCATTCCATTTATCTGCGGCGGGTTCAATAGCAGGTGCCCTTCACCAAGTAGAAGAAATCATGACACACACCGGTTTTGGGACATGCCAGCCAATTGTATAGATTTGTACATTTCAATTAAATTAAATATATGCAATGTTTATTTAACCATTTTCATTTTAACTTGTGTTTGTTCTTCTAGAATTGTATATATAGTTTTGAGTTTGATCATTGGAAGAAAATTAGTCATTAATATTATTGTAGAAAAGACATGTTCCATAGTGTTCGTGTTTTAATGGCCTTTGACCCCCCCCCCCTCCCCCCGGCTAAAGCATCCTCTTTTCTTGCAAAGGTATTAGTTTAAAATACATACATCGGAATAAAATAATGACAGGAAAGATGTATAGACATTTAAAGATATTTTTCTTATCTTGAAAAGAAATTGCAGTTAGTAATTTTATGCAGACCTCAAAATTGCCATCGTTCATACATGTATTTTGCTTTGTTCAAATGATTACTTTTTAAAAAATTTTTAAATCTAACAAAGGAAGGTAATCTATGGAGGTTTAAATTTTTCTAAAATGAAAGGTTAAGCTTGCAATTTCGTATCCTTTACAACTTGCTGTCAAGCAGTACATTTTAAAGAATATAAGGAGTGGTTATCAATGTTAGAAGTGTGGGTGTTTCCCCCTTTAATTAATGGTCATTCGTATAATCGTAGGTTGTATACAATTTTGTTATAGAAGGCATGATTAAGAGAAATAATGTTTGATTTACAAAATAACACTAGTTTTTGGTTTCATCATATGCTGATATTTTAACTCTTAATGGTCGTAGAAATTTGATTTGTAGTGCATGAATAATGATGAGTAACTCTTGTCTAGCTTGACACATTTCGACAACTGTGGTGTAAAAAAAATCACTCCATCTATTTCATTTTAAACGTTAAATATTTAAGGTTACCTATAGTTATGTTACACAATATGAAAGGGTGACGTCAACAGTTTTTGCAGAAAGATTATAACCGAAGGAGACCCTTTCTAACGATGTGTTATAACCAAAGAAGCAGAAATAGATTCATCATTTTTGACAACAGCTATTCCCTCAATGACCAGGGCAAGTTCGTCCAGTACCACTTAGAAAAGTTAAAATTTCTCATATATTTTATGCATAATGCATTGAATCACAAAGCATATCTGAACTAAACTGGTAAGTGAGAATAGACCAGCTATAATATCATAATGCTTGCTGATATATCCTTAATTGGAATATCATTGAAAATCATACTGAAAGATGTTTTACGTTGTTTGTAGGTAATATTTATTAGCAGCATTATTCAAAGACGTCTTTTTTAGTTACCAGCATTGTTTTAATATATGCCTTCCTACAGAATCCGAAAATACGATTGGCAAGTCTTGTCCTTTCTGTATTGTGGATTTACGTTTTCCGGGTCTGATTAACGACCCTCTAAGCTACTTAAAGTGTTACGGTATATATATAATTAAAACTTTCTGTTTTATACTGTGTATGTGGTTGTTTGCTGTGCACAAGATGCTGCGATGGATAGTTTTTTCGGCTATGATATTGGCAAGTAAAAATTCTGGTATTTTTCAGTTTCTTGTTATGATAACACCAAAGTAAGTCTTAATCGCATATGATAAGAAATTGCTTTAGTGTAATTCAAATTATTATGTTCAATTTAATTATTATTTATTTAATTTGATATTTTTTTATTTGATTATTTTTTTTTGTTCTACAGATGTCAACGGGCTGTGAGAGTAAGTAACTGCATTAACATTCAGAGCGTAGTTATTAGATTTTCTTCCTGAAGCATCATATAAAATGATATAATATATAATAAATCGGAAAATTGTATACATTTTCAACCAGGTTTACAATGCACAAACAGTCCTGTGGATCTAGTTTTCGTCATCGATTCCTCGTCCAGCATTTTCCCGAACGAATTTATACGTCAGCTGGAATTTTTGGAAAACATAACAGGAGAACTGGACGTCGGTCCAGCTGTCAATCAGTCCAGGGTGGGGGTAATCTCTTTCAGCGACGAACCGCGATTGGAATTTACATTAAATAATTGCACCGAGAAAAAAGACATATTGGCCGCCGTCAGAAGAATTAATTACATGTCTGGTGGAACCAACACCGCATCTGCCATCCGCCTGGCTGTTAAAATGTTCAAAGCAGCAACTGGTGCTAGAAAGGGAGCAAAAGATATAATTGTTGTCATTACTGATGGAGAAAGCTTTTCGAAATCTGAAACGGAAGAATCGGCTTTACAAGCAAGAAATATGGGAATCAGTATGTTTGCAATCGGTGTGGGGGCCAATGTGAATGTTGAAGAGTTAAGTTTGATTGCTGGAATTACAGAACACGTCTATCGAGTGTCTAACTATGGAGATCTTAAAAGTATCAAGGAAGCCTTGATCAATAAGACTTGCATAGGTCTGTATGACTTTTGATAGCAGAGTATCCCTTTATGATGTTTATTTTATATATCCACTTCTCATTAAATGTTAAATGTTCTATGTTTTTGCACATCCATCTTTAGAAATTCATCAATCAACAACTACCACGAGTTTAGAAGAAGACATGCCACTGAATGAGACCGTGAATATTGAAAGTAAGTGATTTTTAACGAGCTCGTCTACCAAGGGTCTAACTTTATAAGGGATGCTTTGATCAAAAGGACTTGCATAGGTACTTATAACCTTTGATATCTTACTACCTCTTTATGATGTTTAATTTATTTATACCTCTGCAAAACATGATAACTAAACTCTTCATTAAATGGTTCATGTATTTGTATACAAATCCTTAGAAATTCATCAGTCAACAACTATCACGATTTTAGAAGACATGCTACCGAATGAGACCGTGATCATTGATAGTAAGTGATTTTCAATGAGCAACGTCTACAAAGTGTCTAAATATGGAGATTATGAAACTATCAGAGATACCTTAATCAAAAGGACTTGCATAGGTCTTCATGACCTTTGATATCGTACTACCCCTTTATGATGTTTATTTTTCATACTTAGTATATACCTATAATCATAATGCTAGTAAATAAACCATTCATTAAATGTTCTCTGTTTTTGTACATCCATCTTTAGAAATTCATCAACCAACTACCCAGGTTTTGCAAGAAGACATGCCTCTTAATAAGACCGTAAACATTGAAAGTAAGCTTCTTTTTCCCCCCTAGAGAATTATCTTCTTCCACAAGATTGGTTTTTAATCTGGTGTAAAATTCATAGAAAGTATAAATATTCATATTTTTCATCATGAGATCAATATTATTTAGAATTTTTAGGGAGCAAAGAATAATGTGTAATGTATAAGTGTACGTTTAAAAAAATGATTTCATAGTTCAGAAACTTCCAGATTGTAGTGGAAAACCAGCTGATGTTCTTTTCCTGCTAGACTCTTCCAGCAGTATATCTCGCGATGATTTCAAAAAACAACTTACATGTAGCTTCATCAAATCGATTGTTAGCGCATTTGACATTAATCCACACAAAACAGCGGTGGGTGTATCCACTTTCAGTGACGATTTTCAGTCCGTTTTCCACCTCAATGAATTCACGTCCAAGGAGAGTATTTTCAAAGCTGTCGATAACGTTCCTTATCTCAGAGGTGGGACAGACACAGGAAATGCCCTTAAAAACATAATAGACTATGGTTTTAAATTCGCTCGTCCAGATGTTGTCCACATCCTTATAGTTATTACTGATGGTTTATCACGCGATCCTTTTGAGACTTTTCTAGAAGCAAACAAACTGAAGAAAACTGGGGGTTTTATTTTTGCGATAGGCGTGGGACCTTTTGTAGATAAGAAAGAACTAAAGGCTATGGCTAGCCCTCCACAGAAAGACCTTAATTTTGTATTCAATGTTTCAACGTATGATGCTTTACATTCTATTAAAAATTTACTTGCCATTAAAACATGTGTCATTGCTGGACTGCATATGGAAGACCGCCGTAAGTATGCAACATTCTAAGGGGGAACGTGCATGTATTTTATTTAATTTATGTTTGGGAAATGTTAAATTTGATATTCTTATATGAATCACTAGTGAGATTGTAATGAAAGAAATTTAAAAATGTATTAATTTCACTTGTAGCAATTTGCATTATGGACAAACCTGTTGACATTCTCTTCACCTTTAATGCTGCTTCAGTTGGATATCAAGGCACTCGAAGTATTTTGAAAACAATCCAAAACTTTGAAAAATTACGATTTCAAAATGAATCAGACATCCGTATAGGCGTCATTTCTCAATCATGTGTTTATGGGGGTGACCTTCCACTACAGTCCCCAAACAAATACTTAGCAATATCATTTGACAAAATGTCTTTCCTCATCAAAAGAGTAAGGAGTTATGGGTTGACTGAAGAGAATGGTGTCAGAAGTGAAGCAGTCCACATTGCCGTTCTCATTGTGGACAAACTCTTGACAAGGGAAGATGAATTAGAGATCCTCGAGTTAGAAAACATGATAAATAAAATGTACATTGCCTACTTGGGCAACAGTCACAATAAAAATTCAATTCTCAAAATTTCATCAACTTCGGTGAAAACTCTTTCCTTGGCCGATTTCACAGCCATAGAAAGCCTTTCGGGATATCTTCAGGAGGAAATATGTCAAATGACTTATAATAATTGAATAAAAAACAATAAACAGAACTAAATAATTGAAAAAAAACAAATCAATAAATTAAAAATGAAAAAAATCCAAACAACAAAAAAAAAATAAAAGATTGTTCAGTACTTTATTTTAGTCTGAAAAGTACATTCATATATAATGTTTTATATTTCAATGAATAGAATGACAATAAAGTAATTTTTAAAGTCTGTGTATTTTTGAGGGTCATTTTTGGAGAATGGAATGAGACATAGTGGACTTCAGTTCTAAAATTCATTTTTATTTTTAAAATTTTGTGAAATATTAAAAGAGACTATGGTTATAATAATTGATTCAAAACTATTCACATTTTATGGTATAAAATATTTAAGTAAAATAATTTATATACATGTACATGTATATATTTCAAGATTGGGAACTATGTACTTAAGGAATAACTGTCTTATTTTTTGGATTCATGGTGTGATCAATCGAGTGGCTTGCGTGATAATTTGCATAAACGCCGAAGGCGTTTATGCATAAAATTATCACGCAAGCCAATCGATTGATCATCGTCATGAATCCAAAAAATCTGACAGTTATTCCTTATATTTACATGCTCCTGCAAATTCCCGTGCTAATAGTCCCGCTTCTGTCTCTATTTGTCCCGCCCCGCACGTGATTTTTTTTTAACCGCGCCTATCGATGAACCAGTAGATTTATGTAGAAATAAAGTATTTTTACAAGTTGTAATTTTATCTCGGACAAAGACATTAGAAATGTAAATATAAGAATATAAAAACAAAAAAAGAAATCTTGTACATGTAACCTTTTCAGACCCGTGGCAATTGCATGAAAATGACTTTGGGATATAAAAACTAATTGTTTTGTCCGTCTATATCACTTATGACAGAATCATAAACTGCTCTAGAAATTCATTAGTTCAATGCTCTAGTTAAACAAACTATGAAATGCGATGATTAAATGTAAGAGCATAACAAAACATTCATGTACAATAAAAAGGATTTAGATGTCGTCTTAATGGATAGTAAACTTGGTACATAGTCATTCAATTTTCTAAATCCGATTTTTTCCCACAATAATAAATGAATAAATTCACTCTGCACGGAGTGATCTTTTTAAAGTGATCATCATAAATCACAGAGAACCATTTCCATATGCTATTTATTTTGTTTGAAAATCTGTTAAAATGTACCAAAGTTGGTATAATATAGAAAATAAAGATTTTTTTGTATTATATTTCAATATTGTTGCTTTGTTTTGGCCTACGATATGTTCGACTTTTATTCGTAATTCCTTAAGCTAAAGAATGACTCGGATTTGTGTTAAATTGTTTATCTATTCGATTCCCTGTTAAAGGAACTTAGTGACTCGTTAAAGAAAACTAGTAAGAAAAATTTACCTTTGATGTTTGTTATCGCATAGCCAAGAGCGTTAAACCATTGGATATCAAACATTTTTACACTGTATATCTTTATTATTTAATATTCGTACAAGTAAAATTTGTCTTAAACCTTATATGTAGAAAAAAAAAAGTGGTCAACATAAAACAATTAACTCTTTAACAAATCAAAAAGCAAATCAGATAAAAACGACAATGGTAGTATGAAAATTTTGCCGAAATTTGTTACACGTCTGTACTCCTGTACCATAAGCTAAGAATGTAATAAAGAAATTTTTTTAGCTATTCAAACTAAGCACAAACGACCTCTTTATGGCTGTGCAAAGTTTATCAAGAACTCTACTGAACGATGTGCTCAGATCAGAGTACTGGGGCACCCGTACAAGAAAATTAAAGTCAGGATCGGAAGCCAGATCTGCTGCAAATGCTGTGTTTTGTCGGTCCCCAATGGCGATGACCATCAGCTCAAAGTTGTTATTTTTCTTTATAAATTCTACGGCTTCTCTCTCCCCAGTCGTACTTTCGTCCACAACTAGCACACCAATTCTCTTCACATTTGAACTGACTGGGAAACTCTTATTCATGGATTTTAGTAACTGTCCTATACCAGGGAATTTGAGCTCTGTGAACAGTTTAGTATCACGTCCAAGTGGTACGTTGCTGTAGCGCGGACAGTTGTCAGTGATACGGCCAACATTCACTTTACCGGTCGACAGGTCGAGACTGGATACAAGTGTGTGGATAAATCGGCCAATTACTTCACTTTTCCTAAATCCAAGACTCGAAACGTCGTACGCAAACAGGACATCTGTTTCTTTGTCTCCACTACATGCTAAAAAGAGGTTGGAGACTCATATTTTTATTATATTTTTTAGAAAATGAAAATACATTTTAAATAGTCCTTTATTACTTGAAGAAGTTAATTGGCTATTTAAATCTGACCTATATAAATAAGGAAGAAACTTAGAAGGACCTTATTATTTTTTTTTATCGAGTAGATGTTATGTCATTGTTCATGTTCTTCCGTTACATCAAGAGGCACTTGTTTCTTTGTCCTATTTCTTTTTCTTTTCTTTTTTTTTGAAGACAAACATTTCGGAATATTATGAATCAGCTTAAAGAACAATGAAAAAAGAAATTAAAGAAAATTCCAGCTTTTCTCCCTTTTCTATTGTAATGATTTAACCTTGATTTATCTTTGTGAAAAACTTATGATATTTACCTATCCTCTAAAGAAATGTGTCTCAACTTCAAGTGACTTCTTCAAGATTAAAGCACAGTGATAAAATCAGGTCAAATATTGAACAAAAAATGAAATAGTTAGTGTTTATATCCTTTATACTTACTTTGAAGGTTTTGAGGTACGTCTGGTATAACAGCACATGTAGAGAGTACCAGTAAATCTTTAATTGCATGAAGACCATTAAAATCACTGACGTGGAAGACGTGCTTGCTATTAGGGTCATTTGCTATTCTCTTCAACTCTGTTTTGTCAACTTTGTTTCCAATACCAATTGCAAAGATAGTAATGTTTTCATTTCTTGCAAGCTCAGATTGCTCCATAGTTTTTCGAGGTAACCTTGAAATGCCATCAGTCATGACAATCGCAATTTTGATAGCACCGGGACGAGTGACTCCTTCTCGGAAGCCGTACTGGCGGACGAATCTGATGGCTTCATTTGTGTTGGTAACGCCTCTGCTATATGTAACACCACTGATCTGTCGCTTGAGCTCCGCCTGTGTACGTTTGGAGTCCAGAGCAACAACATTTCTTGTTCTGTTGCTAAACACTACCACTCCAGCTCTGATCCTTCCATGCACGTTGTCAATCTTTAAATCATCTATCATTTCATTGACAAAGTTAAGTTCTTTATCAAAGTCCACTTTCCAAATACTGCTAGAAGCATCTAGTACAAAATAAATATCTGCCTCCTTTTTTCCACAATCTGTCGAACAGAAATCAGTACATTTTACAAAATCGTTGTATCAATGCTTAAAAAAAGAGTAAATGTCACACTCATGTGTCAAGTAAATATTCAGACAATGATTTCTAAAAGTTTGCGTGTTTTTGTACTTGATAAAAGTTTATCTTAAAGACGTCTGGGTGTACTTCGACATTGAAAAAGCTGCTTTGTTGTTTTTTCTTTGTTATTTGTGTGTTGTTAATTTTGCTCAGTTGATTTTTTTTTCTTTTTGCTGTTGTATTTTAACCTGTTTTTTTTCTTTGGATCAGTTTTGTTCCTTGTGTGCTAACATTTCTCGTTAAAAAACGTGCTTCTTACATAATTTGGTAGATATGTTTAAATTTTGTTTTCAAATTTTGCTAGCATCTTCAACTGTGAACTAAAACCATTTAAAAAGACATTGAAAACTCAATACTTTTTTGGCTAATTTTTGACTAATATTTAATCTCCAAGGACAATTTAGATTTTTTTTTTATTTTCAATGTGTAAAACGTTTTATAAATATTTGCACAAAAATGTTACAATAAGTAATAATTTTTTCATGTAACAAAATTCATAAATGTATGAAGGGGAAAAGGCGGAGTACTCTAATTGACTGCTATTTACAATTGATATTTTGAGTTAATCCACTTTCATAACTTTATTCATTGTATATCTCCAAGGAAGACATTGACTACATGTATCCTAACTGTAAGTAGTCTAAGGTGCCCTTGTTCTCTTCCGTAAACAAAACACTTAAAATTGTGAGCAAACTAAAACTTCCTTGTGTTATCATCTTTATACATTCTTTTTTTTTTAAATAACTCTTACTAGGAAAAAAGCAATTGATTGGTATGTTAAAATCATCTTTTCTGAAAATCTCAACATAATCTCAGACATTGATAAATGTTTTGGAATAAGATATATCAGTCACCTAATATTTATGTATAAAAAGAAAACACAGAATACACGTTCCTTTTCTTTGACTAGAAACATCAGGGATAACGCATAATAAAATAGCCTCTTCTACGTCTTGACATTATGATATGAATACGCTGTGACTTAAGACACGTGGGTGGTGAAAACATAATTGATAATTAAGCTAAAGTGGTCCACTTACAGTCAGCGGGCTTGTCGCTGAAGAACTTGTGGTAATTATTGGTATTGGCTTGATCGTGATACTGGTAATAGTGCGACTTGTAGAACGCCGCTGGTACCAACACGTCATAGGATGCTTTAGTTGTGGAAGGTCGAGGTGTTGTGGTGGTGGTTGTGGTGGTCGTAGTGGTCACTTTGACGGAAAATAGAAATAATCTGATTTATAAAGTTACAAAACTATATTTATTATTGGCATTGACATCTTGTTGGCCTTTTCTATTTTTATTCAAAAATAACTTTAGTTTAAGAATTTAACTTACAGGAATATACTAAGAATTCAATGACAACGACATTCCTCGTAATATCACGACAAACGAGGTTTCTTAATTAATCTTACATTATTTTCTCTCAAAATTCAACCTTTGTTTACATTGGGACTACAATTATTGATTGTAATATAGACATGTACCACTCATTTTAAGAATCACAAATGTACGCACATTTACCACAAGAAAGAAAATGTTTTCATACAAAACAAATATTAAATTTTAATAGAAATTAAAACATTGATAAAAAACATATAAATGTTAAAACATCTAAACTAAGTGTGAGGCATACCTTCGCATGCATTCGATGGTAATCTGTCTTTAATACCACCAAGTTCTGAGTAGGATGAGACTGTGAAGACATGCTGTCCAATTGGTTGACTTCCAATACCTTCTAGCTCCTCAGCATCAAGGTATTTCCCAACACCTATGGCAAATATTTGAATACCCTTTTCTCTGGCAATTTTCGCAGCCTCTAGAGTGGATTCTCTATTTTGTGATCTTCCGTCAGTGATGATGATTGCAACATGATTAGCATGCGGTCGTCCTCCGTATCTTTCATTAAACATATAACCATATAAGAACTTCAGTGCCGCAGCAGTATTCGTGCGGTAGCCATTTTTGTGCCTGATGTACCGAATTGCAGTTTTCACCCTTCGTTTGTCAAGATATGATCGCAGATAAAATTGGGGCCAGAACGTCTGTGCAAAGGTTATTGCACCAACTCTTGTGTCATGTATGTCCGGTCCAATTTTAAATTCATCGATAATGTTTTCGACGAAAGCCATTTGCTTTTTGAAGTCCGGTCCCCAAATACTTCTAGACGTGTCCAGAAGGAAGACGAGATCAATACCCTTACAAGGGGCCTGTCCGTTTTCTAAAACTGTTATAAAATGAATTCTAGAGTTAATTACAACATACAAGCAACTTTCTGAATGTTTTAGAATTTGATTTGTTTTATTTCATAACTGTGTAATTGTGTTTTCTTAATGATCATAAATGATCATATTGCTAATGCTTGAATTTGTAGATTTTCTAAATGATTTGAATGATAAATGTTACCTTCATTACTGATGTTCTTGCTGGACTGAAATAAAATAAAATGAAACATAAATTATCAATAATTTTCAAATCAATAACGAAAAGATTATCACCAGAAATAAACTCACCACAACGTTGATCAGTAGCAAGATTGTTAAAAATTTACAAAGCACCATGTTCTTAAAAAGTCACTTGTATCGCTGAAGGCAAACAAAAGTCTTTAATTGACGAACATCGATGAATCTTTTTATATAACCATGTGATCTCTAAGTACCACTCACGTCAAGGAAAAAGAGGTGGTTATATTTTTAATGCAATTACATGTAATGTATGAAAAACATACATGTTATTGTTATGATGAATTTGTCTATTTGAGAACTCCTGAAGGATAGCAAAGATTATATTGTGTAGAATTTTTGTTCTGTTTTATCTGCATTTCTGTTAATATTCTTTTATTAGTGTATGTTATAATAGAATCCAAAAAAAGATGTCAACATATAATTTATCAGGTTTTAAAAATATCAAAATCCAATATCCAGTAAGTCACCCAAAATTGATAAATCTAAATATTATGAAAGAAGATATTATTCGTGTTGCATGTCAACTGGACTACAATTAAAAGAAATTACCACCTTATTTGTATAATATCATAATATGACATTGTTTTGTAAATAAACACTACACCAGTTACCTACTCTCGTCTGACATCTATTTCTTTGTCCTTTAGGCACGTAGAATCGTTTTTCTCTTCTTCAAAGAGGGGAATGAGCAACCAGATATTAATTATCGAACAAAAAATGCCTGCAAAAACTTTCATAAACAAAAAAAAAACAATATAACATCAACCAAACCACCCACCCCCACCCAAAAAAGAGAGAAAAAACAAACAAAAAAAAAGGAAAAAGAAAGAAAAAATGCAAAAATAAACAAATAAACACGGAACAAACCAAAATTAACAAAATACAAACAAACAAAAACCACAAGGACAACAACAACAAAATAACCAAAACAAATAAAAGGATACATGTATGTAACAATATCACACTCCCTACTGAAACTGGAAGATGGGATAGTCTACCAAGAGAACAAAGGACTTGTACTACTTTATGTGATCCTATTAATGAATTTCATTTTGTTTTTGAATGTACATAAAAAGAAATTAAAGAGGCTAGGTTAAAAGATACTTGTACCTCAAATTATCTCACATACAAATCCAAATAGGGCCTACAGAAAAATTTCAACAAGTCCTGTCAACAACAAACTGTTCAGCATTGATAAAAAATATGCAAATTGTTGGTTATCAAACGAATCATAGATGGAGATAATTGACTTGAATCATGACATGTTCATTATTATTATTATTATTACTAGATGAAATCCCGCGCAAGCGTGGGGGAATTGAATATATACCATTACCGACAGAAAATATGTTGTAGTTTCTACTGACAGCCTACAGGCTTATAGCAGGAAGAAATACTTTGTTCAAAATCCCGCATGAAGTAGATGTACATGTACGTCTCCACCCCCACCCACCCCCATTTTTGTAAAAAATTAAAAAATAACAATTTCATTAATTGACGTTTATTATGAAACCTGCTATACTATGTCATGTGCATTGTACTTCAGATGCTCTTATTTCATTTCCGTCAAGGATAATATCAGCGAATATACACATTTTACTGATAAATTTATTTATTTTTTGTCTTTTTTTGGGGGGGGGGGGAGGGGGTTAAAAATTCACAGGTACTTGAGTCTTGGTTCATAAATATGTCTGTACCTTATTGATAAGTAAAAAATATACTTTTATTTACTTTTTTTTTTTTTACATATCAATAAGGTATACATACATATTTATAAACCACGCAAGACCCAAGTACAGGGTCCGTGTAAAAATTAGCTTATAACGCCCTATGAATAGGCCGAGTATTTGATACAAAGACTGTACTCAGAAAAAAACTGAAATGTATTGATTAAAACACAAAATTTTACAGTTTTAATTGTATTTGAACAATACCTTATTCATGAATTTTCTCTTTTCATGTAAGCAAGTTTATTACGAAGTACAAATTGTACTTCGAGTTCGTTGCCACGATGCTTTCAGTAAGGAATATAGGAATATAAATTATATATACAAATTTTACCGATAAATTTATTAGAAAGCCTACTACATATATGTATTTATTTAGTTTTTCGATATATAAAGATATTCACAACTTATAGTGTTATCAATGATTTGCCATTTTTCCAATGACCATTCACACAAAAAAATTTTGTTTATGTTCTTGCAGCTATAATCGCCTCGTTTTTCTTATTAACATCGGGCTCGATGCTATATGATGTTCTAGAAGCTTCCTTTAATATTAAGATCGGTGAATGACAAAAATAATTTGGACATTTCCCATTTTAGTTGGTTATCACAATCTTTTTTCTTTTATATCATTTAAATCAAGCTTTGATTGAATAATTCAGTGTTGACGTTTTATGAAATAAATAAACAATTGCTTGTTGTCAGTTTCATTAAAACTTTCCAGTAACCTAGATCCGCCAACCGGAAACGCCACTATACTCACGTTTTTGCTATTTCATGGCTGTTTATAGAAAATAAAAGTAGACTTTTAATTTATTGTACGATACTTACTATGCGAGTGAAATATAAATATAGTTTACGGACATCATCTTGTATATAGTGTATTGTTAGAGGAGTAAGTAAGAACTCTGGTGCACCTGTTTCGGAGTTTATTTGCAAAATTTATTAATTTATATATATATATATATATATATATATATATATATATATATATATATATATATATATATATATATATATATATATATATATATATATATATATATATATATATATATATATATATACACAGTGTATATATATATATATATATATATATATATATATATATATATATATATATATATATATATATATATATATATACATATATATATATGTGTGTGGGTGTGGGTGAGGGTGTGTGTGTGTGTGTGAGGGTGTGTGAGGGTGAGTTTGGGTGTGTGCGAGAGGGTGTGTGAGGATGTTTGTGTGTGTGTGTATCATTTCCTACCTCCTCTCTACAGTGTACGTTTGTACATTAAAGAGAATAAAGCTATTGTCATTGAAGGTTGATAAGTTAACGTTTTCATATATCTATTAAGCTGATTTGGAGATAATCAAGATTCTCCAGATTAAAGTCGTTGGAGTAATTAGTCATTTTGTGACGTGTTAATTACTGTTTAAACACTATGTCGTTACCAAGTATGTCCTGTACTAATTAAATCATTGCTGAGTACTGAGAACTGATTAAAATGTGTATCTTACTCCATGTTTCCTTTTGGAGTCATCTATCAAAATGTTTTATTAATAAACAAATGTTGTAAATTAAGTGATTTTTTAAAATTAGTTTTAATTATGGGGGCAATACAGAATAAACTTTTGTGATATATCAATATCTGGTTTGCCAAAAACTATTCATATATATCTATATGTCTATAACATATATGTTTCATATTTTTCTTGCCTGTTGGAATTAAAATTAGATATTTATGGTGTTCTGACAAACATGAAATAAATTTCATTGACGTCGTGTTTATTCTTCTTCTTTATGAACTGAACCAACCTGAAAAAAATATGGCAAGAAAATGTATACATGCAATTTATCTTGCAGTTAACCGATTGGCAATTCATTACTCGATTGCCATCCCTTACGGATAAAGAACAATAATCAAGCTCATAGTCCATTTAAACAATGCAAAATCGGGAGCAGAGCAAACATGGACCTCCAAAAACATCGGAGGCGGGATCAAGTTCCATGGAGGAGTGAGCATCCCCTGCCGACCGGTCACACCCGCCATGTTCTCCTTGTCATGATCGGGAAAAACGGAAAAATCCGTAGACAGTTCAGTGTGTAAACAATGGCCTAATAATTAGTGTGAAAAACCTCACTCAGTATTTGACTCAATGATAGATTGTATTTGCTGACAAGGTCATTATTTTGACCATAGAACTTGCCAATGATGAATTTAAACGAGGCTGCTAATATCCTTGTTTCATCAACTTGTGTGTCAATAGCTTTCCTCATTTAAGAAATTGCTCTTGCTTATCGAATCAACTGAGAGATATAAACTCCATACGGTAAAGTCAAGATGTAAACAGGTAATGACTGTTCTTTCGGAAGACCTTTAAATCTGAGGTCCCCTTTCACGGTAAGCGTTGGCACTATAAAGAGTCCTCACTGCTCAATGGCCCTGAGTGCCGAGTATAGGTCTAAATTTGAAGCCCTTCACCGGTATATGGTGATGTCCCTATATAAGGGAAAAATTCTCAAATGGGACGTAAATCCTAATATCAATGTTAACTTATGTATTCAGATAACACTTAATCTTTCTCAATCTAATTTGATCAGATCTAGAAAGAACATAAATGTTATGTTCACATTGAAGTCGGGTGCAGGTTAAATAACTTTTCATAACTGTTTCAATTAGACGTTTTGGTCTAATGTTGAAATTAAATGTTAAGCTCATTTTAAGGTCGGGTGCAGGTGTACTTATATCACCGGTAGACCGATTTCTACAATGTTGAATCTCCGCCAATCAGAGTTAGGAATTATTTAATCATATAATAAAACTTTTTTTTCTCTGGTCGGTACAATGACCTTGTCAGCAAATTCAATCTTACATTAAGTCTAGAGTTTTTCATACTAATTGTTAGATCATAATTTACACACTGAATTGTCTACGGATTTTTCTGTTTGCCCGATCATGACAAAGAGCATACGACGGGTATGACCGATCGACAAGGGATGCTTTCTTTTCCATGGTACCTGATCCAACCTCTTAGCGGTCCGTGTTTACTCTGCTGTGTATTGTTTGAATGGATCTTTGAGCTTGATTACTGTTCGTTATCTCCATATTTCATATAAAATCCAAGCTTTGGTATTAACTTTTTTAAAAAGTTTGAATTAGTTTTCGTCGTCCACGTCTGGACTTGCGGTCCCATTGTTTTACATAATAATTGTAGCTGTAAAACAAAAGTATTTGATGTTAAACAACTGTTTTATTCTTATATATTTGATAAAATGATAAACAATCTTCAACGATTATTTCGATATAAATGATATTTTTTCTAGTTGTGGAATCTCTAATTCTATGTATTAGTTATCAGATTGAAAAAGATTTAAAAAGAGAATTTTCAAAATTAAAATAAAACATCCACTATTAAAATGTGACTGTTACTTTCCAGATTCATTTTTCAGTAAAACCTGCAATCTTTAATGCAAACTCTTCAATGAATTTTGCCGTCAATTGCTCTGTTAATTTCTGACAAGTTGTTTGCATTTCCTCAGCTGCACATTTAATCAAGTCTGCTTTTTCTTGTTCTTTTTCTGCCAGTTCTTCTTCGAGTTTTCCTTTTTCAGCCTCGAGTCTAGAAATTGCTTCTTTATTTTTCTTATCCTTTTCTTTCAGTTCACTTATTTGATTATTTTTGAGTTGAATGCGTGTCTTTAAATCTTTAATGGAAAGTTCCAAGTTTTTCACCTTCTCGGTGTGTTTCTTCTCTGCATGAAACACGCAGATATATTAAAGATCAAAGGAAAGGCAATCAATTTAAATGAGTTTTAGTGCAATCTTAAATTAAAATGTCTCTTGCATCGAAATGACACATGACATATTATGCCAAAAGCAATTACCATTATTATAAAAATTAGAGATTTAAAGTTTGAGTAGTTTGACAAGTTCTTTATTAAATGGCTTCAAGATTTTTTTTTCCAAAAAGTCTTTCGTTACCTTCGTCTTTCGGAATAATGCAAACGTAGTGCTGTTTGTTGATCAAACCGATTCTAATTTCTCTCCCTGTAGGTTTTGTAGGATAAAATATAACTTCCTCTTCTGACGGGTAACAAAGAACAACAACGTTCACCGAGAATGCATCTGCGGCAAACATGACATAAAACGGAAGCCAGGTATAAATAGCTGGTTCATTTTTTGTCATATCTTTCCATTCCATCGTTTTGGAAAACTCGCGCAGTATCTGACAAAAGAAAATTATATATATATATATATATATATATATATATATATATATATATATATATATATATATATATATATATATATATATATATATATATATGAATTGGATTGCATGGAATGAAGAATTGTTTTTCTTTTTCATACCTTAGTGCTCTTGGTATTAGAAATGCACGTTTTAAGTGTTTCTTTAAGGGATTCCCAAGATGTTAATGTTTTATCCAAAGTTTTTCTTTCTATTTTTTCAATCTGTCTTTGTAAAGCAGTTTGAAGAGCAACGAATAACGAGTTTGGTCCAAGTTCCTGCCTGGTAATGTCTGATCTGCATCGATATAGTATTTCCAGGGATAACTTATCCAGCCATTTTATTGCATTCCCATCGTCAAACAATCCCTCTTCTGGTTTGTAATCAATAAGAACTTGTAATCCATTTATATTTTCTTGGAAGATAAATTCTTTAATATCTGCAATAAAAGAGGCAGTTTTTGATTTGTTTACGTTAGTCACATGCATTTTACATATATTTTCTTTATAAAATAAGAAAATACTTACCTTGCTTTTTAACAACACATAACCACGCCATTACTAAACTGCGGGCTTTCTGATTTTTGGTCATATTCTTTCTTATACTACACAATGCATCTAAAGAATTTGCTATTGATGGTGGTGCCGTTGGAATAAGATTTTCCTTATAAAGTGACATCCACAAGCCATGTATTTGCTCCTTATTTTTAAAAGGTGTTTTTGTTGTCAGTTTATCGAACATTTCATCGAGTGTTTTAGTGATTTGTGAGTGCCTTACATCGGTTTTTCCCTCAGCCATTTTCAGAATATTACTTCTAAACACATATAGTCATATTCTCTCCGACTTTCTAATTTCTTGATTTGCTTTTATGATCATATTGAGGCTAATTATACAGCTTCATTTCGATTCGCAGAGCTCAAAATAGTTCACAATATATCCTTTAAATTCTATCATTAATAAATTTAAAACCCTTCAATGCATGCAAGAGTTCATTCGCGATTCCTGATATCCTCATGTCATATTATGTATATACCTGTAGTTGTTGCGAGACACATATTCATGGTGAAGTTAACTTCGATGAAAGAAGAGACTATGCAATGTCTAAGTCGTTAAATTTTGTCATGGTATGAATTATCAGGTGACTTAATCCATTTTCTGTTAAGATGAATAAAGGTATGTGCATTTATTTGTTATGTCATAAACTTTCCGTTAAGCAAATGATAAAAAAATATTTCTTATCTTGATATAAAGATGTGGAATACACTCGACAACTAATAGTTTATTGTTCAACCATTGATTCTTGTCAGCTGAAATAAAAATGTATCTACAAAATGCTGCATTTATAGTCACACATGCAAAATGGGGAGACATCAATTACAAGTGTAAAAATAACACAATATTTTCTGTCTTACTATAGAGGAAAATGCCAAGGATGAAAAATCCAAAATGATTATAGAGTAACGTAGAATATTCTTCTTCGATGAACAAAAAAGTTGTGATTCAAATGCTTTAAAAGAGTTAAAAATTCGCCTTTAACATCATATACCACAGACTCTACATGGAAAGGGAGCAGAGTTTCATGAATTATTTGAAGCATTAGCTTATGACGGGAACATTTGTTAAGGAAACTATGACTTTCTGCACAATGCTTTATCAGAAATTGATCAGACAACAGCTGCAAATAAGATATTTTTTTAAATCATGTGCTATGACATTGAACTATCTTTTCTTGAAATGGCATGACTATAACTTGCATGATTTGGTACATGAAAATTAATTCAAAGGTAGAAGGTCAAAGAATTTCTATGCCAGCTCTAGCATCAGAAGTGCATTTTTTCTGTCTACATTTGCTCATTTTTTTGTATTGATGGACCCTAACTTTGCATTATAAAGAAAATAATACAAACTCATACTAAGTCAAGTTGAAAGTCAAAACTCATAGTAAAGATGATGGTGAAATCAAGAGCAACCCTAGCGCTCGTTAGTTTCACCTTAGGTTTCTTATCATTTTTGAAATTTTAATACGTTTTTTATACTTTGTAAATTGAAAAGTTTAATTACCTAGAATAAAGTATCTTCCTCTACTTCTTTAGGTTCAAAATGTGAAGATAAATTGACGGAGATCTCCGGAAAATGGGGAAAATCTAGTATAGAATCAGGAGAAAATCCCTCGACTTTTGTCAGTCAGAGAAGTTATTCCAACATTTCGTCATCTTCATCAGAATATTGTGTTGTAGAAAAATATAGAGAAGATCCTGTTTGTCATCCACCATCAACAGTGGAAAATACGGACATAGAGCATATGAAATCGATATTGCTGCAATATGGCAAAGAGCAAGTTGAACGTTATTGTAAAACTTTCAAAGAAGAAATGGAGACGAAATATGTCAAAAAAGAATCTGTTACTCAAGCACAAGCTGCAATAAATAAACAATAAAGTTAGAATATTTAGATTATATATATGTGAGGGGTTGGGCACTTCTTATGGACAAGCCGCTTTCCTTCATATATGATATGCATGTATATGACTTCTTTTTACCTAAGGAATCCATGTTTCCTGGGGAGCCTTGTCATTTTTAGGCCATAACGCGTATTAATTACTCTTAAAATAACACTTGGGGTCAAGACCCCCGCCCTGCACCGGATTACAAAATATTTTACCTAAAACCAGGGCCGTCGCTAGGATTTTAAAATGGGAGTCCGAGGAGGGTCTGACGGAGTACTTTCTCCTGAGCCAGAAAATGGTTTGTAGATGGGTACTATTTCGGTGGGTTCTAGTGCATTCTTGAAGTTCTGCACCATTTTCCCCCATAAATTAAAATAACGAAATACAGTAGCATTGATTTAAACAGATGAATAATGAATTAATTTTGTTTCAAAAATGAAATTTTCGACTGTTCTTTAAAAAAGGAGGTGCGATTGTACTAAACGCAATCCACGGTCCGTTGAAAACTACACATTTCCTTTATTGTTTACTGTGTAATTTTTCACTATAAAGAAAACATGAATCACCAGAAAAGATAACAAATATAGATTTTAGGTAAAGAGGTATCTTACTGATTATGTTTTTTTTATTTTAAGTTTATGTGCCTCGAATAAATGGTGTTGCTTTTAAAATGTTTCAGCTTTCAGAAAATTACAAATTTCACAGGTCTGAATTTTTTAGCGAAATAATTAATACTTTGAAATAATTATCTGGGAATAGAATGTTTTCCAGTCTGGTCCAAGAAACCAACACTCTGTGATCACTTTATTATCTCAAAAGTGACTGGAAAGGTTTGGGGTGGGCGGTTTTAGTATATTTACTGAAGAATTGTATTGTATATATAATGACTAGGCTAGATAAATATAGAAATTCTCATACAACTTATTATATGGAGTCATATATGTGTAAAGGTGTGTTACTGTTTGTGTAAAATAAATTTTAATTATGTAAAGTTTATGGGCGGCGGAAAGGGTAAGGAAAGACGTTAATGCAAAACTCACAATGAATTTTGAAAAAAATAAATTACTGAGATACAAAAAAATAGCTTGAAATAAAATCAACAGACTCAGTTTCAAAATCAACAGACTATATTACAAAATGCTCGATCACCGACGCAAACCAACAGTCGTTAACTGAATTGACGCTAGATGGCGTGCAAAAAAGAACAGTCTGACCTGTGGAATGAATTGATACTATATACAAGTGAAACAAACAAAATACCCCCACCCCCCAAAAAAAATTACAAGGGGGGACTTTTGGACACCGGGTGAACCGGTGTAAAGACGAATAATGACCCCCATAGAATAATGACCGGGGGTCATTTTTCGCCATCGAATAATGACCCCCGGTCATTATTCGACGTCGAAAAATGACCCTTTTGCCCGTAGAAAAAGTGTCATCACCCTAAAAATCTGCATACCCCACGTGAAGAAAAATGACCCCCGTAGAATAATGAAATCTTGTGGATTAAAGAGAATTAAAGTTGAAATTTTTAGGGGGCAAAATAAAAATAATAAACCAAGAGACCTGTTGACCAAAATGCTCACCTGAGCTAAATTGGGAATAAATCGATGATATGTTGATTTCATGACTTTGTACAATCATTGCTGTTTTTAAGATTAATGCGATGATTCAGAATCTAGAAAATTAAAAGATTTATCGAGCCCAAAAGGCGAGGTGAACATTGTTTTTTTTTTCGATGGTGAAAATCATCGTACTGACAGAGTTAGAGTTAACATAATAAGCATAACCAGTATTTATTTTGAATTTGAAATCTAGTTTTGGTGCAATGTAGAAAAAATAAATGTCAGGCATAGCATCGAAAGGGGAAATGGGGCATTATAAGAAGCGAAATGACAAGTTAGCCAAAAAATATCTTTGATGAACCCCTTAAAAAGTCTATTGATGCAAAGAGGATTTCCTTTTACTCTACTGTATCAAAAAGTTTTGGATAGGGCAACCAGACTTGCAATGATTATTTTCAAGTGAAAAAATAAAAATGGCGTTTATGAAAATGGAAGGGGGAGGATACTCTACCCCACCCTTAATTCTATGTGCCTGAATGTTCACCATGTCCACTCAATTAGGAGAGATTTTTTTAACTATACTGTATAAAAAAGAGGGTGTGTTTACAAGACTTTCAATGAACATTTTCAAACTAGAAATTGCTAAAATTTACATTCAGAAAAAGGAGGGGTGAGCAATCCCCCACCCCCTTCTCCGATTCTTTGAGCCTGAATATTATGTTAATTTGAGTGGAATTCGGATGCAGGTGAAATAACTTTTCAGAGTTGTTTTCAATCTATTTCGTTCAATGTTGGAAAAATAAATCCTTATATTCACCTGGAAGGTCAATTAAATGGTCTGTCTTCAACGATAAATTAAAAACATTTATCTACTTCAATATACACTGTATTGACATCTTTCCATATTTATTTGACAAATGTACATGTATCACTGTTTTAAAGTGGATTTCTAAAGAAAATTATTCCTCTTACATGTATGTATCCTATTCTCAGACGACCACGCTAACAGACTTGAATGTACATATGTACATTATACTGGGATCCTTCATTATTACATCTATATATTTATAAAGAAATTCCCATAGACCACTGTTTATAAATAAAATTTAATGCATATTATGCTATTGTATATATTTCAGACATGCAGAAATTTTATGTCCTTTTTATGTTTGCCACGTCTGCTTTATATTTGGACGTCCTACTGACTATAGACGCTAAAGACCAACTTACAACTAAATTGTCTGACAAGCGGGATGGCTTCATCGTCATCTTTACTTATTTACGTAGTAATATTCCGCTATCATTTGCATATGATGTTAACGTCTACCAAATTATTCGATACACAAGAACACGATTAATTTTTAAATCGAGGCAGGCTACTGACAGATACATGTAAGTTGATGTTACAGGGGTTTCAACAACCTCGTTTAAAGTCAGCATTTCGTAAATTCAATGGTCGTATCAATGACCCTGTCAACAAATATAACCTATAATTGGGTCAATTGTTTGGCCTTTTTTTCTATACTTAATTCGACAACGGAATGTCCCCTGATTTATTTATAGGGCTCACGGCAGGTGTGACGGGTCAACAGGGGATGCTTACTCTTTCTAGGCACCTGATCTTACCTCTGCAATTTTCTAGGGTCCTTTTTTATGCCCTGTTAACAGAATTGTATTGTTTGTGGATATTTTAAAATCATCACTGTTTGTTATTTTCACCTTTTTTTTTATTAGGAATTATTTACATTTGCAAATATTTTTCTTAGATGAACCTATTGATGAGAAAATATGTTCAATTCTGTATGAACTTATTAGGGGGTCAGAGGTCATGGCGTGACCGAATCACACAGCGAGATGATATCTTGTCTACATATTTCTGTCACGGTGACACTGATTTCGGAACTTCTAAGCCGTTAAAGCGATGAAAAAGATAAAATTATTGAAATATATATGTTTTTTTCGTTCAACAAATGATCATTAGTTCTTTCTTCGGTGTGAAGAATGTTTTTAATTAGCCTAAAATCACGCTTACCTTTTAACCCGAAATTCCTTTGAAGGTATGTAAACTGAAGACGATACTACCGCTTTTGACTTCATATATTAAGAACTCATACAATAATAGTAAGATTATTCTCAGTAGCGATCATGGTTTTTTTTCATTATGAACAGATATTTCCTGAACTGGACTGTTGAACATCAATGTAAGTATTCAAATGTTGGAGCGAGGCGAACTCTCAAGACCAAACAGCTTCTAGGTCATTGCGCGTCACAACATAGCAATACGGCGGGCCGTTCGTGTAATAAATGCAGTTCTTTTCAGAATTCTCGTCTCAAATGTAAATAAAAGTAATAAACAACAATGTTAAAAAGTTCACTGGGAAATGAACTTGGTTGGTACGTGATCAAATCTTCTGAGAAGCCCTTCGGGCTTCACAGGATTTGATCACGTGACCAACCAAGTTCATTTCCCAGAGAACTTTTTAACATTGTTGTTTATTTCTTAAATATGTCCACAGGAGGTCGTTCGCACGAGATATTATGTCATTTGAGATACATTCTACCTCATTTACACACCCTTTATGTCATTAAAAAATATTTATTTACATTTGCAAATATTTTTCTTAGATGAACTTATTGAAAAGAAAATATGTTCAATTCTGTATGAACTTATTAGGGGGTCAGAGGTCATGGCGTGACCGAATCACACAGCGAGACGATATCTTGTCTACATATTTCTGTCACAGTGACACAGTTTCGGAACTTCTGAGCCGTTAAAGCGATGAAAAAGATAAAATTATTGAAACATATATTTTTTTTTCGTTCAACAAATGATCATTATATCTTTCTTCGGTGTGAAGAATGTTTCTAATTAGCCTAAAATCACGCTTACCTTTTTAACCCGAAATTCCTTTGAAGGTATGTAAACTGAAGACGATATACCACCGCTTTTGACTTCATATATAAAGAACTCATACAAGAACAGTAAGATTATTCTCAGTAGCGATCATTGTTTTTTCATTACGAACAGATATTTCCTGAACTGGACGGCTTAACATCCATGTAAATATTCAAATGTTGGAGCGAGGCGAACTCTCAAGACCAAACAGCTTCTAGGTCATTGCGCGTCACAACATAGCAATACGGCGGGCCGTTTGTGTAATAAATGCAGTTCTACTCAGAATATTCGTCTCAAATGTAAATAAAAGTAATAAACAACAATGTTAAAAAGTTCACTGGGAAATGAACTTGGTTGGTACGTGATCAAATCTTCTGAGAAGCCCTTCGGGCTTCACAGGATTTGATCACGTGACCAACCAAGTTCATTTCCCAGAGAACTTTTTAACATTGTTGTTTATTTCTTAAATATAAATATTACATTGCATAACTTCCCGTATTTCTTTCCGAAAACCTATCTCATTCATTTTTTTTCATTCGCTTTTTAAAAAATAAA